ATACCATGTAATTCATGCACTAACCCTAGGCCGCCTGTTTTGTAATTGAGGAAAAAGAGGTTCAGGGAGGTGGAGGCATTGGCTACAGGTCACACAGCTAGTCAGTGAGCAGAGCAGTATTGGAATCTGGATCAACCTGAAACAAGAGGTGTGATCTAGTCACCGGTGGTGGTCTGCACCCCAGTTTGCCTCCTGGGGAAAGAATGCAGGCCCCTGGTTGAGAGATGCCGCCGCCCCTGCTGAGAGCCTGGCCCTGTGAGTGGGTGCGCGAGGCATGCCTTCAACTCCCCAGACTCCGCCTTGCTCCCTGGGGGGGCGGAGGCGCTTGTTCTTGTGTACAGGGAGAGAGCCAGGCCTCCGGGGCTTCCGCAAGGCTGTCAGTGTGGCCTCCCATGTGGCCAGATCTGCCATGAGGAGCGGTGGGACTCAGGGGCAGGTGGCCTCAGCGCCCGCCACGCAGTTTCCCCCTTTGGAAAAAGAGATGGTGACTGCCCGGCCCCACTGTGGTGGCTGAATGAGGTCACACACTGCCCATGTAGTCCCCAGAAAACGCACAGAGGGCCCCGCAGGCACGTCGGGCTGTGGTCTTGTGGGGTCCCGTGTGTGTGTGGTTTAGACTCTGGGACGCCTTCCAGCTCCTGAGTTCTAAACCACAAACTCACACCCCCTGGAGGTTCCGGGAAGGGCAGCAACCCCGCTAAAGATGCACAGTAATTGACAGTGTCTGCACCAAGCCCAGGGCTCCCTGTGTGAGGGCATCTAACAGGGCAGTGTGGCCGCCCTGTCTGAAAGGAAAGCCCCCTGCCCGGTCTTGTCACCACGGACATCACTAAGCGGGCAGGAGGTGCCGGCTGGGGTTTCCCTGGGAGGCCACCGAATGCTCATGACATGGGCCCTGCTGGCCTGCTGGTGCCACCTGAGGAGGCACCCTTGACTTGATTATCTGCTCCTGGACCCTGGGCCTGGACATCACGGTGGTGGGGCCATGGGGACAGAGGGTCAGGATTGACCCTAGAGTGTCTCCAGAATCCTTCTCCCTCGGGACCTGTGGAACAGGGACGGGGCGGGCAGAGGAGGCGCCGTCCCAGAGAGCCCGCATGCCCGTGTGTGGGGCTCTTCTGATGGGGCTTAGGAGGCGGGCAGGTCCTGACAGAGCGAGGGTCCCCGCCTCGTGGCCGTCCAGCCATCTCCTGACCATCCTTCTGCCCCGGCTGCTGCCCGCCTCTCCCTCTCTGGATTTCCAAGCAGGGCTGAAATCCAGGGCGTCACAGTTGCTCCATCCGAGGTCAGAACCCCCCTGGTTCCGCTGACTGAAGAGCCACCGAGCAGAGGAAGCCCTTGGGGTGGGCGAACCTTCACGCAGTAGCACCTGCAGGCACTCGGAGGTGGTCTCTGGGGTGCAGCCCTGGCAGTGCTGGGCGAGGCAGGCGACAGGCATGGCCCGGCCATCTGCGGCCTGCTGTGCCACCCCCACCTGATGCAGTTTCTCCCCCCACAGGGCTACAAGGGCTATCCTGGACCGGCCGGGCACCCTGGAGAACAGGTGAGGCCTCGGCCCGCCCAGAGCTGCTTCTCTCCCCACCTGCCCCAGGCCAGGCCGGCACCTCCCGTCCTGCTGGGCCCCCACCTCATCCCACCCATCCGTTGCTTGAAGGAGCCCATGTGGCCTGGGGCTGGCAGGAGCCACTCCACTTTGGATAGACCCATGAATAGCCGCCTGTTCCAGCCATGTTAGGGGACATTATCCGCGCTGCCAGGGGTTTGCAGGAATCTGGGCTCCCCGGCCCAAGTCAACAGCAGCCCTGCCAGCGGGGACCAGGCCTCAGTGTTTTCTTACCCATGGCTGCAGCCGAGGGCTTCCTCCCCCAGAGCTGGTCTGACTGGTTTTGCAGAAGGGTGGGCTGGGGGCCCAGCAGCTTTCCTCTGGCTCAGTCTCACATTCCTGTCCCTCTCCTGTCCCAGCCCCTGAGCTGGCCAGAGCCTGTCTATACCGTCCGTTTCTCTCTGTTCCTTTGCAGGGGCCGCCAGGACCTGAGGGCAGCCCAGGGGCCAAAGGTTACCCTGGCAGGCAGGTGCAGTATATGGCTTCTGGAAGCTCTGTGGCCGTGTGGCGATGGCCATGGGTGCCCCAGGCACAGGGAGGCTGTGGGCTAAGGGCCAAGGAGCTGTCCCCGCCGGGTGGGGCCGAAGGAAAGGGCTGTCCTGGAGTGGACCATGGCAGCTCCTCTTTGTAGGCAGCAGGGATGGGATGCTCAGGAAGAGGAGGCCGGTGCAGGTGGGGGTCTCCAGAGGCTCCTCCCACCAGTCTCCCCGCTGAGGGAGGGGAGAGGGCCTTCTTGGGGGGCAGCTGAGGCTCCAGAGACAGGATCGCCCTGGGACGTCGGTGCGGCAGGGCGTCCCCACACATCCTCGTCTTTCTGTCTTCTGTGTTTCAGGGGTTACCTGGGCCTGTAGGAGATCCTGGCCCCAAAGGCAGCCGGGTAAGTGGCATTGGCTGGTGCCACACGGGTGGGCCTGCGTGGTGTCCCCTGTTCTCCAGTGGGCTTGATGGGAGGTCAGGCTGTAAGTGGGGGCTGGGGGCTGGAGGCTGGGGCTGAGGCCCTCTCACGGGGGCACTCCCTGGAGGGTGGGGCAGCAGGAGGGCTGGGCAACCCTGAACCAAGGGAGCCACGAGGTCCCACAGTCTGGCAGTCCAGGCAGCCAAGGCTCTGCTGGGACTCAGCCACGCGCCAGGTCCAGTGGGCATTTGCTTGACGTGTCCACCTGTTCCTTTCAAGTAACCAGGGAGCCCAAGATAGTGCCCTTTAAAGTACCTGCCAGCAGAATCCTCAGTGCCTCCCTCCTTCCCAGCCAAGGGCTGGGGACCTCCCTTTGTGGAGGCCTGAGGTGTCCAGTGGGGGAGCTGCCCTGGCCTGGAAGCCCAGGAGCTTCCAGATCTGGGCTTCTTTTAAGCTCCAAAGGAGCAAACTGAGTAGCCATCGCCGAGGCTTGCCCGTCATTGCCCTGGGAGCCATGCCAACTCCTGCTGTGGCTTGGCTTGGAGATGCCAGGACGGGGCTCCCCTGTGGGCTGTGGGGAGGCAGAGAAGGCTCTGGGTGAAGTGAAGGGGTGTCGGTGGAGTTGGAAGTCCAGGAGATGACCTGGCTGCATCTCCTCTCCTACAAGGAAAGTGGAGTCCTGGTGGCCCCAGGGCCCACACTGCATCCCCAAGGTGGAGCACGGGGACTCCTAAGGGGCACTGAGAAGGGGGTCACACTGCCCTTGCTCAGGAGCCAAAGCCACATATACCCTGGCAGGAGGGAGAGGTCAACATGCCACGGTCTCTGCCCTAGAGCGACCCCAGGGCAGGAGGTGGGCACGCGGGCGGGTAGGCGGGCTCCCCAGGACTTTGCTATGGCATGCAGGGGGCCTGAGGAGGTGCCTGCTGGGGCGCTGGGTCTCCCTGCCTTCCTCCAGCTGCTTTTGTGAGCTGCGGCCTCAGCGGGGCCTTCTAAGCCCAGAGGGAAAGGTCTTCTCAGCCCCCAGTGCCCATCTGCCATCCGAGGAGAGGACAACGGATGACATCTGGAGCTGCCTGATGTTTGCTACAATGGCAACATCTTGAGGCCACATGTGTGGAGAGGGCCAGTGTGGCCCCCTCTCCTGCCTCCTCCAGCTCCCAGGGCCTGAGCTGCCCATGGGGGCCGGCCCCTCAAGCTGCCTTCCAACCCCTGCGGCCTCATGTTTATGAAGCAGTCAAAGCGGCACAGGCATCAGGGCTTGAGACCCTCTGCCATTCAACAGCTGCAGGGTGCTGGCCAGTCACTGGGCCTCTCTGAGCCCCTTTTCCCACCTGTAAATCTGGGAAATGAGCCCTACGTAGAAGGGTAGGTAAATCACTCTTGAGGATTGTGAACAGTGATCCTGCTACGTGCTGAGAAGGAGACTCAGTGACCTTGTGGCTGTCTAGAGAAGGAGAGATGGTTGGGGACCTTCAACGGAAGGGTGTGTAGCAGAGTATTTAGGAACCTGGGAATCACATGACTTGAATTCAGATGCCAGTTTTACCACATTCCAGCTGTGTGACCCTGGGGAATCACTTCATCTCTCTGGGCCTGAATGCTCTCACCTCTCCTGTGTGCGGACTAATACCTACTTTCTAAGAGTGTAGTGAGGATGCAGTAAATGCTTTAATGCATGCAAAGCATTGAGAGCTGGGCCTGGTGCATAGTTTGTGCTCAGTGAATGTCAGGCTTTTTAACAGTTATCATTAAGTCATTCCAGAAACACCTAGAGGGTACAGACAGTGATACCAACCGTGCGCTAGAACTCTGCCCAGGGAGTTCCTAGGCTGGTGAGGATAGAGAACATAGATGCCTGGGACTCCATGGTAGATGCTGCTACCTGGGACTCAAACTGGGGGCTGGGGTGAGAGGAGACTGCTTCTGGCGAGGGCACCAGATGCTGTCCAAGGTAGAGGGCGTTAGAGGCAGGCTTTGCTTCAGCCGTGCAGTCCTGAGGATGGGAAGGGTGGTCCTGTGGGGGGCAAAGAGGCCCCTGAGGCTGGGAATCAGGACCAGCCAGCACCCTGATGCCAGGGCTGGGGTCTGGAGTCAGCTGCACTTAGTGACTAGGAGCTGACCAGGGTTTGCTCAGGATTGGCTGAGTTGCTATTTCCTCAGAGCTAAGTCTCCTCCTGTCTGTCCAGGGAGGGAGATGACAGCCAGTCCACAGGGTCTTTATGAGAGTTTAGCACCACAGGGAGCAGCCGTGCCTGGCAGGATGTCAGCACAGCTGATGGTCCTGCTGTCACTCAGGTGGCTGGGGTGGACGTGAGCCTCCCTCCGAGACCTTGGAGGCCTAGGAGGAGCGCTGCAGGCGCACCCTGGGGTGACCTGGGTGTGGGCGGGCCCAGCACCTAACCAGGCCAGGCTTCCTCCAGCAGGTGGCGGCGTCCTGGGGCGCGGGGCGGGCTCCGCAGCGCCCGCCTTCCCTGGCGTGAGGGTATGTGCCTTTGGACTACATCGTGGAAGCCGGCACCATGCAGTCCATGGGCATATACACTTGCCTCAAGGCCTGTGTCGTCGAGGACCACGGAGCACGCTGCTGCCAGCTGCCAGCGAGACGAGGGGGCGGGACCTCCGGGGCGGGGCCTCTGGGGCGTGGTCCCCCGGGGCGGGGCTTCCGGGGCGGGGCCGGGCTGGACGCTGCTCCGCCCTCGGCCGCCACGCCTTGACCCTCCTGCTCTCTCCTAGGGCTACATCGGACTCCCAGGGCTCTTCGGCCTGCCTGGGGCCGACGGAGAGCGGGTAAGTGCGCTCCTGTGGTGACCAGAGGTCACCCGGTCCCTCCCGGAGGGGCTGGGAGTGGGCAGTGCGGGGGGGAGCCTTCCAGGCAGGGAGCCTCGCATAGTCAGCGGCCTCCCGTTCACCTGAACCATCGCCCAGGTCCACTCAGGAAGGAGGCTGCGAGCCTGGAGGGACCCAGCCAGGAAAGGGACTCTCGCAGGCTTTCAGCAAATGAGAAACAGGCCCGCTTCCTACTCTAGGTTAGAGGTCTGCAGACTCTGGCCCGTTGTTCATTTTTGCGAATAAAGTTTTATTGAGCCCAGCCGTGCTCATTTGCCCACTGTCAGCCCTGGCTGCCTTCCCCGCCAGTGGCAGAGACCAGGTGGCCCGCAGAGCCAGAGGTTCACCCCTGCCCCTCTGCCCATGCCCTGCTCATCCCACCTTAGGCAGCTTAGTTCCTTTCCTGGGGCGAATGAGAGGGCTGGAGACCCAGGACCTGGTGGCAGCTGTGCCATGCATGAGGTCCAAGGACCAGATGTTGGAGGCTGCACCTGGGCCGAGACAGTGGAGCTGGGTGGGGCAGGGGAGGGGGGGTGTCGGCACCAGAGGTGGCACTGGGTGACTGGCTTGCACCCTGAGCTCTGCAGAGAGACTGGGCCCAGCTCTGGGGAAGGCGCGGGCCTGAGATTCTCTAGGATGCCCCGTCCCTCCAGCCAGGTGTCCAAGTCAGGGGAGTCGGGATGAGGTGCTCAGGCGCCCCCGGCCCCGCCTTGATGTCCTCTAGAAGCCCCTCAGGGTTCCTTCCTGGCCCACTTCCAACCTGAGTCCATATTTGGGAACTCAGCTGTAAACTTGTCAGTGAGCTGGACACTGAGGGCCTTAGAAAGGCAGGAGAAGGAGCAAAAAGTAAGCACCTGCTGTATGCCAGGAGCACTTTCTTTAGGCATCTCCCCAGCAGCCCCCTGCCCTGCAGAGTACAAAGGCCATCTGTCCATCCCACATAACTGGTGACACTGTGTACACAGTATGGATTCCAGGCCCTCTGTCACCTCCCATGGGTGGCTCTGGGATTGATGTGGGCCAGCTGTGTCTTGTTGGAGTCCTGTCCTGACCTGTCCCCTGTCTTTCCCCTACAGGGTCTGCCTGGCGTTCCTGGCAAGAGGGGCAAGATGGGTAGGCCGGTAAAGATTTTCCGTGTCTATTACGCAAACTCTATGGGTGGACTCACCCCCGCCGGCCTATCCGCCTGTCTGCCTGGGGCCTGGTGCTTCTTGCCTCTCTGTGCCTGGCTCTGCTCTGCCTTGAGTCTTGTCACCAGAACGCTGCGTGGCTGCTGTGTGGCTGCTGCTCTGGGTCCTCTCTCCCTGTGCACCGCTCCTGAGTGCCGTGGCGTGGGGGACATCTGCTGGGGGTGTTTGTGTCTGGGGCCTGCCTGGGGTTGGGGAGGCCTAGGCCAGCCCAGGACACAGGCTCCATCTCAGCACTTGTCTCCACGTCGTCTTGGTGTCACCTGGCTCTGCTCATTTCCTCTCGTGAGCACGCAGATCTGGAGGCAGTGGGGTGTGACAGGCCCACAGTGGGCACAGCCCCAGGAGGGGCTCCGGGTGTCCCCAGTCCACCTAATGTACTCCTCTGCATTGTGGTAGGAAATTGTTTTTCCCGTTGTTTGAGCATCTGCAGGCATGAAGAAAGAGCCAGGGCACCTAAAGATTAAGTCATATGCCTGAGGTTGCACAGCGAGTCAGTAGGGAAGCCAGGATTCTAGGTGAATAGGCTTGTCCCCAAGGTTGCTGATCGCTTGGCGTCACTACTTGATGCTAATCTTGTAGAAGTAGGTTTCCCACAGTTGCACCTGCAGGATGTCATTTACTCCTGTTATTATTCAGAAGGGGACACTGAGGCTCAGAGGCAGATCGCTGTGTCTGAGGTCTGTCCTCTGGGACAACAGGCCCAGGACTGTCGCAGAGGTGTCTTTCTTTCAAGCTGCGTTCTAGTCCCCGTACGTGGCTTAGGCTATCCGTTGCCCCCCAGGTTGATCCTTGACCTCAGAGCTGTGGTCGGCCCAGCCCTGGGCCTCCTGTTCCCTGTGGCTCGTGGAGTGGACTGTGGGAGAGGTTAGACTGGACAGGAGCCGGGACACTTGGGGACACAGGGAAGGGGGCTGTCTGATGCTGGGGTGGTGGTGTGTTGTTGCCTTTGCAGTGTGTGAAGCTGGCCCTCTGGGGGTCAGGGAGGGCAGAGAAAAGCAGGATCCAGTCCTGCTCCCAGGAGCTGGCAGAGGGTCCCCCAGCAAAGCCACCCTCTGTGGCCTGACAGCCTTTTGTGCCCTCAGGTCCAAAACCTGCCACCTAGATGTGGGCCAGGAGGAGCACTGCCCTTCAGCCTCGGCCAGGCCCCTCGGGTGGGGAGGCAGTGAATGCCCACTGAGCGCCCACCTGATGGGGCAGATGGACGGGCCATGGGACAGGGAAAAATGGCTGAAAGAATGATCAAAAGAATGTCAGGTAGTTCCAGGTGCTGAGAGTGGGGCAGGGGTCAGTGAGGGCTTGGAGCGTGGGCTGAGAGGTCCAGTAAGTCCTTCTTGCTTCATGAGACACCTGCATGAGGTGGGGATGGGAGCCATGTGGCTTCCCAGGAGAGAGCCTTCCAGGTCGAGGTGAGAGCGGGTGCAAAGGCCCCGGGGCAGGAGTATACTTGGTTCAAATTTTCTGAACCATGATCTTCTCATCTGAGAAATGACAATTGTGTCTAACTCATGGGACCATTGTACTTCCTAGGTGGCTGAGGGGCCACCTGTGTTGAGTGGCTGGAGGTCAGAGGTGTCACCTTCTCCGGGCCTGGTTTCCCATGACTTAAGTTGTGGAGGGGCAGCAGATGGATCACTCAGCTGTCCATCCCCAGGCCCACCTCTGGGGCCACGCTGGGGGGCTGGTTCAGCCTCTATCCCAGGAGCCTGGCAGGGCCGCTTCACAGATGAGATGGAGACTCAGGGAGGTGACTGGTGGGTCACAGCTCTGGGTTCACTGAGGGCTGAGACTGGACTAGAACGCGGCCCGAGCTCTCAGCTCCTGCCCAGGGGGCGGCCATGGAGGGCTTGGGTTCCAGAACCCCCTGAGCGTGGAAGAGGCAAGGCCCAGGGAGCCCTGGGAGTGGCCTGGCCCCTCCAGACTGGCACGGGAGGGCGGTCCCTCAGGTGTCCCCGCCCACCTCTGTCTCCCCTCCGCACCCACCCCTCCCTGCTATGGGCACGTTTCCTGCTTGGTGCCCAAGCCACGTGGTGCTCATGGTGGAGGTGACGATCGATCTACCTGTCTAGGTCGGATGAGGCCACTCGCTTATTTCTGAGTCAGCAAGTGTTTATTGAGCACCTACTGTACACCATACTGCAGACAGCACTGTCGTCAGACGGACACATACTCGATCCCTGAGGGTGGGACTGTCCGCAGGCTAAGGAGCAGAGCCGAGCCCTCACAGCTGTAAGGGAAGGGAAGCCAGGTGGCGAGGCCTTGGGTGTCACGGTATTGAGCCCGTGTGATTCCCCAGAGAGCCTTTAAGATGAGGTGGATCCTCCCTCTTACCCAGAAAAGGAAGCCGGGGCTCACGCTGGCCACGCCATCAGTCCAGAGGTCCTCTGAGGCCGCACACTTGACCCACAGTGGACAGCTCCTGTCTGCTTCCTGCTGCTTGACTTTAACCCCTCAGATCAGCCCTGACCCGGGGATGGGAGCGCCCCAGAGCGGGGTGTCAGGAGAGGGCCCACCGCTGTGCCCGCACCTTGAGAACCGGGAAATGCCCTTGACTCTGGGCCCGTCACCGTGGCCAGCAACCTGCGGTCCCCCTGTGCATGTCCTGGGCCCTGGCCTGCCGTCCCCCGCCTGCACTCCCTGGGCGGCCCTGAGGCCCGCCCTGAGGCCCGCCCCCTGGGGCCCCCAGCCCAGCCCCTCCTGGGAATGGCTAAGAAGCAGCAGCAGGAGCCGAATTCCCTGGGTGGCATCCAGGTGGCCTGTTTCTGGTCTCTCGCTGCAGGCAGACCTCCGGCCCCTGTGCTCATCTCCTTGGCCTCTGATTTGGAGGGAGGGTGAGAGTCTATGCCCCTGGGAGCTGAGAAGAAGTGGAGGTTGGGGCTCATGGGGGCTGCAGGGCCCCCATGATGGCCTGGCTCCACCTCTTTTTCAGACAGATGAGCAGAGAAGGAAAGGAACTTGCCCAAGGTCACACAGCAAGTTGGTGGCAGAGGTAGGAGTTGAATCCAGGACCCTGCTGGCTACTGCAGGGTGCTCTCTACATAGCCCCCTCCCGTCTTTAACCTCCAAGGAAAGCTGAGTCTATAGCTCTCTCCCTCCTCCCATCTCCTGCTAGAAAGGGAGTCTGTGGGGTTCGAGAAGGGTCTAGACATAAGGCGTGGCAGGCTGGCTGCACTGAGAGGGCAGCTCCTGCCGGGCCCAGCTTGCCGGGGCTGGGCTGGGGTCATGGGAACCTGCCTGGGATGCCCGCTGTCTGCAGCCCACGGCTCCTAACTCCACATCTTGGCTTGTGAGCCCAGCGCTCTGCGTTTCCAGGCTGCGGGAGCAGGGAGACCGGTGACAGAGCTCGTGTTTCTAGGGACACTGAGGCCTCCAGGGGGCAAGGTCTGTAGCAGGGGGTGCCGAGGGCTGGAGGCTCCCATGAGTCAGAGCGTTGACGACTCTGGGATCCTGGCAGGAACTCTGCTGCCTCTCCCCCTCCCTCCCCAGGTGACATTTCTCTGCGGCATTTCCTAGTGGACCTCAGAAGGTCAGGGTGAAGACACTCAGCACTGTGAGGAATGACTACCGGGAGGCTTCATGGGGTCTTCCCATGTCAGCACACCTGGGGTTCATGTCTCTTCTAGAAAAGAATAAGGGCTATGTCAGGTGTGGTGGGAAAGAATGCAGGTTAGACTTGTACAGGAACTTCCAGATTTTGGAGGACTTATACTTGTGAGGAGGTCTCGGGCTCCTCTAGGATTATCTATTATTCCTGCTGTTGCTATTAACCTAACTAGCTTAGTGGAGGCCCACTAGAGTTTACCAGGGACTGGATTATAAACATCTCACCTCTCCTCAGCCCTCCCTGGCGGGTGAGGGCAGAGTGGACCCTTCTGCAGGCCGGGAGCTGAGCCTCAGGGCTGTGAGCAGGACTTGTGATTCTGGGTGCTCCTGCATGCCACCTCCTGTGGAGCAGACGGTCCTATAGACCCTGCCTGGAGGCAGGAGAATGGCTGAGATGGCCTTCAGAGGTCCCCTCAGCCCTTGGCGTCCTGCTCGGGTTGTGGTCACGAAGACCGGCACTGTCCTGACCCTTCCTTGAGTCGTCTCAGCCCTGCTGTCCCGTCCCCTGTCCCCCCCGGGGCCCGACCTGGGGAGGGAGGACCACGTGGCCGAGCAGCAGGAGCCGAGCTCACTCCCTGGCCCTAGGCCACCTCGCTGCAGCAGGCGCAGCCGGAGGGGCAGGCGGGGCGCGTGGGGCCGCATGTCCAGCCTGGTGCCAGCTCTCTGAGAGGCTGACATGAGAGGCCTGGTGAGTCCTGGAGCCGGCCAGGCCCCTCGTGGGGGGAGGGGAGTCAAGGCCGCAGTCTCCCCAGGGACAGTGAGGTGCTAAATGTCACCTGTGCCTGTGATCCCAGCGGCTGAGGGGGCTGCAAGTTCCAAGCCAGCCTTAGCAACGTGGCCAGGCCCCTCTCCCAACAGAAGGGGCTGGGCTGTGGCTCAGTAGGCAGGCCCTGGTTCAGGCCCCAGTACCAGAGAGACACAGAGCACTGGATCCCAGAGTCCTCCGTCTCGGCCTGTGATGGTCCCCGCACCTGTAAAGCACCATCCTCTCCCCAGCTGTGCGTGATTACAGACTGGACTCCTGGAGGGAAGGAAGACTGAAGGTGGGGCACGGTGGGTCCCATGCCAAGGGCAAGCGGTCCTCAGCATTGGCCCTTCCTTCTAGTGTGTGAGCCCAAGACTGTGATGGACCCTTGGAGATGCCCCAGGCTTGCTCTAGTCCAGCCCTTTAGAGAGCAGGCAGGCAGTCTGCCTAGGTTCAAAGCCCAGCCTTGCTATTCCACAGCTGGGTGACTTTGGACAAGTGTCTTAACCTCTCTGGATCTCAGTTTCCTCATCTGTAAAATGGGACCAATCAAGAGTCTGTTTGGAGGTCACGCTGCTGGAATTGGCTATTGTCCTTAGGCTGCATTGTGACTTGGGATCCTGATGACAGTCCCTCCTGGCTCCTGCTTCCAAGGCTGCCTACATGTTTCTGTGAGCTGCCAGCTGTCCGCATGTCTCATCTGTATTCCCTGTGGGGCTGCAGGCAAGAGGTCTCTGGGTGGAGGCCAGGGCTGGCCTGGTGGCTGGGTCCATGGGCCAGCTGGGGCTTCTGAGTGGAGGCCCATGGGGTAGAGGCCCACAGGGTGGAGGCCCATGGGGTGGAGGCCCTCTTGCTGCTTCTGGAGAGGGTCCAGTGGCCTCTGCAGCTGGGTTGGGCTTGGGCTGCTGCTGCCTGTCCATCTTGCCCCACGGGGGCATTTCTGTGCCTACGGGAAGGGACTCCCTCCTCCCCGGCCTTGTCCAGCTTCTGCCCAAGCTGGGAGGACCCTTAGGACAGGAAGTCCAGGGAGGCCTGTCCCAGGTCACATGGCCAGCCTAGGGTACACCCAGGGTCATCTCTAGATGCCAAGTTAGAGAACAGAACAGGGACTTCTCAGGTCAGGCCTCCAGGGGGCACGTGGAGCCCCTGGGGCAGCCCTCGTCCCCTGAGGGCTGGCCCTCCTCTCTTGCCAGGCCCCTCCCTGCAAACCCTAAAGTCTAGAGGTTGGAACCTTCAGAAATGCCCCTGGCCACAGTCCACCTGGTGAAGTCCTTGAACTGGAGGGAGCTAGAACTTTCCAGTGGGGACTCCACGGATCTGGGGAGAGGATCTGGGGAGAGGAAGGTCGGTGGAGTGACATGTGCCCCCAGAGATGGGCCTGCACCCAGACCCCCCCACCCTCGCCCACCTCCGAGGCCAGCGGGGTATGCCCAGCTGCTGCCTGTGGCCCCCCACCCCCGGCTGTCCCAGGAGCCACAGAGCCTAGAGAGGTGGAGCCCAGGCTCAGCTCTGCTGCACACGCTGCTGCCCTGTGGCCATGGCCACGCGGCGTGTCCTCGCTGAGCCTCCACTTACCTGACTGCTGAATGGAGCCAGCAGCCCCTCCCTCCAGGCACAGGACAACCACCCTGAGGTCCTGCTCTGCCCTGAAGCCCTCCCTGCGTCCCTGTCCCCTCCCCTTTGTGTCTGTGACACCAGACCTCCTGGGGGCTGTCCTGGAGGGATGTGCACGCAGGGCCCACGCCTCGTCTCTGGTGGCCACCAGAGGCCTTGGGCTGCTTGGCTTTGGTTTCCCGCTTGACCTCCGGGGCTCCGTCTCCCTCCAGACCCCTGCGATTTAGAACCAGAGGCGCGGTCACCTCCCAGCCCCTCTGTGGTCTCGGGCCTTGGTCTTGGGCAGGACAACCTGCGCTCTGGTTTTCATTCAGTCTCTCTGGAAAACCGGGTGGCGGGCCGGCAGCAGGCCGGGCTCCTTCCTTTTTGAAGTAGGAACATGCCGGCCCCCAGCACACAGCTGTCCCCGCGGCTGTTTTCCCAGCTGCCTGGCTCCCCAGGGGCCTGGTGTGGCCTCCAGGGTGGGGTCAGAGAGGGACCTCAGGGCCTCTGAATGGCCCAGGCTGTGCCACACCAGCAGTGTGACCTCGTGTGGCCTTGCCACAACTTTACAACTTCTCCTTATCTGTACCATGGGGACCCTGGTGCCACAGGGTGACTTTTGAAGGGTGCATTGTCATCGCAGATCTGAGCTGGGAGTGACCAGTGGGGACACTGAGGAACCCGGGAGAGGACCCTGTCAGGTCCCAGCCAGCAGCTGCTGTAGGCCTGGATAGGCTCCCTGAGGCCCCAGTTTGTGTCCTTCCCACGTCATTGGACCAGGGCCCGAACTGGGGGCTGGTGCTTGTACCTTTTTTTTTTTTTTTTTCCAGAGACTCTAAGTAGAAAAGAAGCAGGTCACCAGGCGGGCCCTCCAGAGTGGCCTGTCCCTGAGTGTTGTGTGGGGTGTTTGTGATGGCAGGGTGACCTCAGGATCCGCTGCTGTCAGGTGGAGGAATGAGACTGCTCAGACACTGTCCCTGCGTCCCCCTGGGGTTGGCTCAAGTCTCTGCAGCTCCAGACACTGACCTACGGATGTTTCTCTCTCCTGCCCCCAGGGCTTCCCTGGAGACTTTGGGGAGAGAGGCCCCCCTGGATTCGATGGAAACCCCGTAAGTACTTCAAGTGTTTGGGAACAGAGAAGAGATCAGGAGCCCATACCTTGGGGTCTGAGACCTGGGTTACATCCCAGCCCCATGACCTGCTGCTTGGGTGTCCTTGGACAAGTTACATGACTTCTCTGAGCCTGTCCTCCTTTCTACTCTGGGTGACACCCCTCGAAGAGTCCCAGCTCGCTGGGCATCTGGGTTGCACCCAGCCCCAGGGCTTAGGGAGGTTCCTGGATCACTGCCCACCAGAGAGGCCCCAGCTTCTGCCGTCTTAGAAGCAACAGAAATGTTTACGACCACAGTGGCCTAGGGACGCCCACGGGTCGCAGGCGGTCTTTGGAAAGACGAGCCACGTTCGGAAGGAATCTCCACGGCGGGCGTGTTTATAGAGTGTGTAAATAATCCGAGGCCCAGGCTCTGTCGGTGGAGGAGCCGGGTCAGCCTGCCCTGGGGAGCTGGGTCTGCTCGCGCCTTCCATCCCAGGCTGCAGGCCCAGCTGGGAGAACGCTCACATTCTTGGCCTGAGGGTACAGACTTGGCCTGGGGGTGCAGACCGGCCAGAGCTGTCTGCAGCACCTGCCTTGATCCTATCTCTCCTGGGGGCTTCCTGCCTGAGCAGCCACACACAACTGACCTGCTCTGGTCTCACAGATTCTCCTGGAGGCTCGCCAGCCCTGCTTCCTGGGGGAGCCTTGGCCCCAGAGCCAGGTGCACCTGGGTTTGCATGCTGCTGCACTGTCTGCCCCGCCTGTGAGCCTGGACCGACCCTGACCTCCCTGAACCTCAGTCTCCTCATCTGTTAACTGGGGGTGGGGGGTCGGAGGGCTCAGAGGGCTGTCGTGAGAAGAGAATGAGGGCAGGGAAGGTGTCCAGCCGATCTGAGCCTTCAGTGCCTGGCGTCCCACATACTTGAGGTAGCCACAGAAGTCCTGACCCCTCCCCATCCATTGCACAAGACCCAGGGAGCTGGGAAGACTCCTGGGGACAGTGAGGCTAGAGAGGAGGGGACATGCCAGGTGACATGGGAGGGGAAATCAGGGCGTTTCCTCAGCGGTTTACTTGCTCAGTAACCATTGCAGCATGTCAGTAGAGAACCTTCTAGAACTTTCCCTGGGAGGGGCAGGGATGGGCCTCCTTAGGGCCTAGAGGAGCAGAATGGAGGCAGACCTGATGGGGGCCTTCGGGTCTGCCCCGGTTTCCCCGCTGCAAGGCCAAGGCTGCCGCTTCCTCCCCGTGGTGCTGTGCCCCGCCCCCTGCGCTAATCCTTCCCAGGCCTCCTCTTTGGTTCCGACTCCCCATTTGAACTCGGGCTGCACCCACACCCGTCTTTTTTGGTGTGAGCCCTGGGTACACCTGGGGGGCTGAGGCCGGGGGTGAGCCATGCACGAGGCCCCATCTCCCCTCCAGGCTGGACAGGGGAGGCCTGAGGGCCTGGGACTGGGGGGCAGAGTCATGAGAGGCCCTGGCCCTGACCTTAAGCAGATCCCTTCACCTCGGGAAGCCAGCTGTGCCTCTGAGGAGGGCAGTGGCACCTCCGTCCACACCCCCAGGCGGGGGCTGTGCCCTCTTCATACCGACACTGGAGGGTGCGAGGGCTGGGGGACCCCTCCCCGTCCTACAGCCGGAAACTGATGGCCAAGGGGGGAAGGGCACTGTCCCAACTCCAGGCCACACACCAGAGGCCCTGGGGCCTGGGACTGGAGCAGGGGATGGTCAGCACTGAAGTGTCCCCCAGATGCCCACATGGGGCAGGGGTGGGGGTCCTGGAGGGAGACAGACGCGTAACCACCTTGTGTCTGTGTTTGCAGGGAGAACTGGGCCTGCCAGGGCCCTCAGGAGTCCCCGGCCTCATTGTAAGTACACAGCTGCCCAGGGGCTGGGGGTGGGGGAGAGACAGGTGTCCCCGAGGAGAGGCCTGGGGATCAGGACAGGCAGCCTGGACAGGAGGCTGAGGGAGGAAAGTCTTGCTGTGTTACCCCAGGTGGGTCTCCCACCTTCTCTGAGCCTGCTTCTCCATTAGTTAAGTGAGGGTGAGTGCCGGACCATGCCTGCCAGTGTGGATTTACACTTGCTCTTTGTTGGTTGTTTTACAAGGAGGTCTGACAGGTGACAGCATGCCTGTTCAACAGGGGCTTCCTGTCCAGAGGCAGGAAGTGGTGGCAGAGTTGCTGAGACTCTGGACCATGTTGGGAATCTCCAGGGCTCTTCTTCTCAAAGCATGGACTCTGAAACCAAGTCATGCCTCTGCCAAATCCTTGCTGTGTGACTCAGGCCTAATCACCCTCTCTGAACCTTAGTTTTCTCATCTATGCAGATGAAAGTAGAATCCCCTGGGATTCTTGGTTGTGAGGATTAACCAGGGTAACACAAGTATATTGCTTGGCCCAGGATCTGGCCTTCAGTAAATAATTAGTGGAAAATACTGTTGTATCAGTTACTGTTATTCATCAATAGCAATAGTCATTCGTGAGAGAGGGTGCGGCCATGATCAGTCACTCATCTCCTGAAATGCCCAGGACTGGAGGGCCTGTCTGCAGAGGCAGGAAGGGCCTGGGGCTGGGCCTGGCTGGGCGGCCTCGAGGAGCAGCCTATCAGCCCACAGCAGAGCCTGCTGCTGGGCCTTCAGGGCACGTCCCAGCCTTGGGCCAGTGAGGGGCGAGAGCTGGAGGTGCCTGCAGAGTGTCCCCCGGGGTCTTGCCATCTGCTCTCCTCTCGGTCATTCCTTATGGAGTTTGAGTCCGGGAGAGATGTGGGGGGGACAGGTAGACTGTCCCCTGCTTAACAGATAGGCCAGCTTTGCCACGCAGCAACTGTGCCAAGAAATGCTGCTCAGAGGGAGTGAGCAAGGCCCCAGGGGAGGCTGGGGCATCCCCTGGCTCGGGGTTGGCCAGTGCCCGCGAGAGGACCCAGAGGTCCCTGTGCAAACCTGCTCGTGTCCAGGTGGGTGGGAGCAGGGCCTGGGGCCGGGGCACAAGCTCAGACCAGCCCGTGTTGAAATCCCGGCCTTGCCTGGCTCTGTGGACCTCACTGTGGACCCCCTTCCCGAGCCTCGGGGAACCCCCTGTGAAATAGGTCATCATGTCAGAACTGCAGGTGCCAAGAGGGCAGTCCCTGGAGCCAGACCTCCTGGTTCACGTCCTGGCTCCCACCATTAATGGAAATGCTCAGCAAGTTGGCTTCCCTGTGCCTCCACCTCTTTATCTGTAAAATGGGGACAGTATTAATGCTTAACTCGGGGGATTGTCGTGGGGATTTAAATCAACAGTTCATATTAAAGTGCCCAGTACGCAGCAAGCACTCGGGAAGTGTTGTCATAATAGCTATTGTTATTTTATTTATATATTTTTTGATACTGGGGATTGAACTCAGGGGATTCAACCCCTGAGCTGCCCGCCTCCCCAGCCCTATTTGGTATTTTATTTAGAGACAGGGTCTCACTGAGTTGCTTAGCACCTCACTGTTGCTGAAGTTGGCTTTGAATTTGTGATCCTCCTGACTCAGCCTCCTGAGCCCCTGGGATTACAGGTGTGTGCCACTGTGCCCGGCTTAGCTGTCGTTATTACATCACACACACACACACACACACACACACAAACACACACAAAACACACACGCCTGTGTGTACATATGCTGTGCTTGTCTGGATCGCTGAGTGGAGGAAGGTTTCGAAGTCAAGTTGAACCTTGGTGGGGGAGAGCACTGCCGTGGACTAGCGATGCACGCCATGGCTGGGGACTGGGAGTGTCCACCTGTGACTCACGCCTGTGTTGTCCCTGATGCCACTCAGCAGGACTTTGCCAGGCACCTCTTTAGCACTGGTGGCTGACCTGTCTGCCATGAGAGGGGGAGAACTCTCTGGAAGTTGCAGTCTAACCCTTTCCGAGCCCTGAAGGAGTCCCTCCTGAAGCCCCTTGGTCATACGGTCATTAAAGTCCTCCTGGGACAGCTCTGGGGTTGAAGGCTCCCTCGCCCGTCCATCCAAAGGAGCCCTCATCGCTCAGCGTCTTCCTGTCTCTGAGCCCAAGTCGTACTCGCCGTCCCTGGGAGAGGCTGTTCCAGGGGTACGATGGTCAGCGTCTGCTCTTCCTGAGAATCCCCGTCCCCAGAGCTTTCGAGAAGAGAGGTCCATACACCTGGCTGCTGCCTCTGGCATGTGTCCTACTTGTCATTGTCCCAGCGGGTTGGGTCCCAGGGTGGTAAGGTACAGCGTGGCTGCAGAGATTCTTAAGGCCCAGCCCTCCTCCCGCCTGGCCTCAGCTCACGGAGCACCTCCCCTCTGCTGTCCGTAACTAGGGCTGCCAGACAAAATACACGACGCCAGTCACCGTGGAGTGTCAGATGCAGCATTGGGACACATTTACACTAAAATACCCTTCATTATTTATCTGACATTCAAACGTAAATGGGCGGCCTGCCCTTCGCATCCCGTCTGGCGGCCCAATTTGCCATGTCTGTTGGCAGATCCCATTTGCCAGACGGGAAAACTGAGGCCCCGGGTCAAGAACACACACGGGCAGAAGAGGATGGGGTTTGATGGAGGCCCTGAGGCCAACTCCTAGTGCAGGGCTGGCTGGGGGCGGGATCTGGACACCTGCATTTCTCAGGCCCTGTGCCCTCTGCTCAATGCCACTTTCCAAGGAGCTGATCCCTCCCCCCTGTGACCTCACTCGCCTGTGTCCCCCGCCCTTGCCATTCTTGGCCTCTCCTCCCCGGCTTGGGTACCTTTGAAGTCCTGTGTCCTTGCACCTGGGAGCCCAGGGCCGGACCTGAGCCCCTGAGTCTCCACCGTGCCCGAGGCGGGGTCCCCTTGCACCCTGAATTTTCAGGAGCAACAGGGTCTGTCATGGGGAGAACTCACCCCCTTCGAGTTGGGAAGAAGGAGGGTTCTCCTCAAGAGTCGGAGGAGTAGGAGGAGGAGGAGGAGGTGAGTCACCTGCGGTTTTCCAGCGGATGTGCGTTTCCAGCTGAGCGACGGGAATTCCACAGGTTGATAACGGTTTTAGTGGAGGTTCAGGTTCAGCCGGGCCGTCTGGCCAGCTGAGGCCATCTGTGTGCAGGCTGGGCCGAGCGTCCCCGGGCCCTGCTGCGGGAGGGGACAAGCTAGCGTTGAAGAGCGTCTGCTCTGTGTGTGCCTCATGCGCATTGGGCTCAGCAGCCAAGGCCTGTGGCTGGACCTTGCAGGGAGTAGACACCTCGCACTTGTCACCCTCGCACTGACTGTCCCCAATTCCAATGAGCTGCCAGTGGCTCTGGCAGCCTCTGAGGTGAGCCTGCTGGACGCCTTTCAGTAACTGAAAGCCCTGGCTGCCTGCGGAACCAGTCAGCTCCGCAAGGACCCGTCCTGTCTTTTTTATTCAGACACGTTAATGAGACCCAGAGAACATGTGACTCGCCAGCAGCCCAGCACCTGGGGCGTGGTGGGCTGCCTCTGTCCTCTGTCACTGCTGGTTACCCGACTGTTTCTTTGCCTATCAGGGCCCTCCAGCCCATCTTTACCAAGGCCTCGCGAGCCTGACCCCGCTGAGTGTCGGCGGCCACCACAGCCTGTGGGCGTGGGGAGTGGCATCATCATTTGGCAGTGAAGGACACCGAGGCTCAGAGAGGGCAGAGCCCTTGCCTGAAGTCACACAGCTGGCAAGCTGGCCTGGGCCTGTCTCCAGAGCTAAGCTCTTCACCGCAGCCGCAGGTCGCCAGTTCTAAGGAGGACAGAGGCAGTGGCCGCGTGCAGTGTGGGCTGAGGTCCAGGAGCTGCCCTGGCCAGGGATGGCGCTTGGTAGTACCACCCAGGAGCCAGGACAGGCTGAGTGCCCTTACCATCACCATCCCTCAGTGTTTCTGGAAGGAGGCTTGATGGCCTGCGAAGGCAGTTCCCTGTCCTCTCTCCTTTTCCTTAGTGGGCCTCTCCTGTGGCTGCACCCCAGCTAGATGCTGGGGTAAGGTCCCCAGATCAGGCACCTGCCTTCGGTCTGGTGGTGGGCTTGTGGTGGCCGCATAGGCACATGTAGGTGACGGCCACCTGGGCAAGGCTGCGAGTGAAAGGCGCGAGGCTCCAGGGGGACAGGGTGACACCGCCTGGCCTCTGGGGTCAGTGAAGTTGGGGGCCCCAGGATGCATGGGCATTGACGGGCTGAGTGGCGGCCGGAGCACGCCAGGCGCAGGAAGCATCAGGAGCCTGGGCCCGGGACCATTGGTGACCAGTATGTCCAGCTACAGGGAGCAGGAAAGAGGGCGGACCTGCCTGCACCCCCACGGGGCACCAAAGGGCCCAGGTTTCCCTTGGGGCCCCTGCCAGCCCCAGCCCTGTAGCCCCCAGCCCACCCAAGCCACAAGCTCGGACTCCCACGGGCTCAGACAGACAGACAGACGCAGCTGGGGCCTGGACCTGCCTCCACTCCCTCCCCTCAAGTCTTCTCCTGAGACTTGAGAGCTACCTCGGGGCTCTGGAGACGCCCGCCTGGTGGGAACCCCAGCTCTGCCCCAGCTCTGAGGCGTTGCTGGAGCCGTGACCGCTAAGACCCTCAGTCTCTTCACCTGTATTATGGGCACAGCAGCAGAACTGGCCTTTAAGGGCTGCTGTGGATGTAACTGAGTTGAGGCACGTATAGGGCCCAGTGCCTCAGTGCCTGGCAACCAGAGTTGCTTGGGTGCTGTGATTATTGTCATTAGGCACAGGAGTGACATGACTCCTCAGTTAGCAGGGGCTCAGCGAGTGGGTTTTGCTGAACATAGCGAAGCCAGAGTCCTGCAGGCCAGTGAGGGCAGCAGGCCACACAGCCAGGCCAGGGCAGGGCTGAGGCCAGGCTGCAGTGTTCTGGGGACAGGAGATTGGCATTGTCTCCCTCCTAGAGCATCGCCCTGCATGGGCCTCGGCCCTTCTGCGGGAGTCAGGCAGGAATGTGGTTCCTTGTCCTCCACCCAGCCTCCCTCCCGCCTCCCACCTGGCCTCCTGCCTGGCCTCCCACCCTCCCGGAGGTCTCCAGGCAGCAGCTGTGGCAGGAACTTGAGTCCTATTCAAGCCTGGCTACCCAGGCAGCCTTTGTGCCCCCAAGGCTCCGGAGCTGCGCCTCAGCCTCAGGGCACTTGCCAGGGCCTCCAAAGAGCCTGAATCTCTTCAGTGGGAAACTGAGGCCCAGAGAGGTTAAGTATTGTTTGAGGTCACACAGCAGCTGGACACTTAGGTCAGTCACAGAGAATGGACAGGGAGAGAAGACCAAAGTTTTAGGGGCTCTTTTCTCTGGGCATGGGCTTAACATATGGCTCTGCCTCATGGTGGTTGTCAAGGGGGTGGGCAGGGTGAGATTTGAGGAAAGCAATGGAGGCTTATTAAGACAAAACTCTGCCATTTCACTCTAAACTCTCTCTCCCACTGTTTCTCTCCCCCCACCCCTCCCCAGGGATTGAACCCAGGGCCTCCCACATGTCGGGCGAGACCTGTACCCTGAGCCACACCCCCAGCCCTGACCTCAGCACTGTTGACACTGGGGCTGGATAATTCTTTATTGAGGGGGTGGGGGGTACCGGGGATTGAACTCGGGGGCACTCGACCACTGAGCGTCATCCCCAGCCCTGTTTTGTATTTTATTTAGAGACAGGGTCTCACTGAGTTGCTTAGTGCCTCGCCATTGCTGAGGCTGGCTTTTAACTCGCGATCCTCCTGCCTCAGCCTCCCGAGCTGCTGGGATGACAGGCATGCGCCACCACGCCTGGCTGGATCATTCTTTGTGGTGGGGACTGACCTGTGCCTTGCAGGACACTCAGCAGCATCCTGGCCTCTCTAGCACAAGCTGCCCAGGGCCAGCGGGGAGTGGACCAGCAGACAGCCTATGGGAAGTGCTGGCGGAGGGCAGAGCATGACCTGGGCCTGGACAGGATCCTGTGACATTTATTCCAGCATTTTAGCGGAAGCGAACAGAAGGACAGATGTTCCTAATCTCAAGATCAACCCAAGGGAGTCGCATCCTGGAGAGCCCAGCCCCGGGGACCCCGGGCATCGCCCTCGCAGCCAGCCTCCCAGGGCCACCTCTCATAGCTGCCTCTTTCTCTTCCCAGGGTGACATGGGAGCATTGGGTCCCATCGGCTACCCAGGACCCAAGGGCATGAAGGTAAACAAGGGCTTCCCCCAGTTCGAGTCTCATTGCACCAGAAGGGCGGGTGCCCCAGGGGATGCTGGGAGGGCAGGCAGGAGGTTCGCCCCGTGGGTGCTGGACAGCAGCTGATTGATCCGGAGCTCCGCCCTGGCTGGAGAGCCAGATGTCATCTGTATGTCATTTACTCCAGATGTCTTTATTGGACACCAGCCCTCTAACTGAGCACGAGTCCAGCGTGATTCCAGGCTTGGGGGTCATCGCCAGGACCACAGAAACTATAATGGGGAACAGTGAGCCCTGAGCGCAAGGGGACACGGGACGGGTCAGCGCCAGGCCAGCCCAGTTTGGCCTGTTTCCGCCGCATCGGCACCTTCCTCCTCTGGGCTTGTCCCCAGTGTCACCTCTGCCAGCTGCTCCTCCCCTCCTTGCCCATCAAGTTGGGGTTGTCTCCTTCTTTTGCAGTCGGGGACAGTGAGCCAGGCTTGGGGACAGAGCTAGGTCTTGCGACACATGGTCCTGGTTGAAGCCAGCCAGCTCCTGCTTCTGTGGCTCGGGCCTCACAGCGGCCTCTGGCCTTTGTCTTGCAGGGACTGATGGGCAGCATGGGGGAGCCCGGACTGAAAGGTGATAAGGTGATCGGAATACTCCCTTGTCGCACCGTGGGTTATCTGCATGCCGCCCCTCCGCCCGGAGGCTGCCACTCAGCTCTGGCCAGGTCCACTGCCCTGCGCTCTCCCGCCTCCCTCTGTCCCCGGAGTCTGGGCTCCCAGCTTCTTCTGGTCCCTCTGGGTGGGGCTCCAGCCGACCCTCGGGGGCCTGCAGACCTCAGCAGAGAGGGCGTGAGAGGTTGGGGGCCCGGGGCTCAGTCAGCAGGTTTCAGAACTCGCAGAGCAGAACTGGGGCAGAACAGGGCCTTGGAGGGCACAGTCACAGAGCATGGAGGGCGGTGGTGACCTGGAAGGAACCAAGGGCACATGAGGTGTCCTGGCATGGGCCTGAGAGCTCTGCCCAGAGAGCACACCATCTGAAATGCAGGGGAACCCGGGCAGCCTGGGCCGCCACCCACTTCTCCAGCTGCCCCCCACCCAGGAAGGCCCCCGGCCACATGGCCTCTCTGTGGCTGTAGGACGTCACCTGGTGCCACACCAGAGCTGAAGGGGGAGATGGGTCTTGGGGTCCACCAAGGGGCCGCAGCTGGCTTGGGTCAGCAGCACTGCAGTGACAGGCCAGGTAGGAGCAGCCCTGCCCTCCCCCACAATCTCTGGTCCATCCTGGAGCCCGCAGAGGACGTGGCGGGATCCAAGGGGCACGCTGCTACTCTCGCTCCTGCGTCCAGCCTCCCTGCCCACCTGTCTTCAGGGGCCGCCACCCCTGAGGCCAAGGAGCAGGTGTCCTGCCCAGGCACCCAGGAATGCTCCAGAGGGATCACCCCTTCCTCTTCCAGCCCCAGGTGACAAGGGACCTGCCCGAGGCCACCCTGCTGCTAAGTAGGGAATCAGGGCTCAAAGGGCACCTGGCCCAGAAACCTCCACCACCCAGCAGAACAGAGATCAGAAGGACAGAGCAGATGAGGCCCTGGGAGGTCGCCTGACCCGGGGCCTCAATGTCACAGCTGGGGACACTGAGACCCAGAGTGGGGAAGAGATTCACCAGAGGAAGCGGGTGCTCTCCTAGGAGCCAACCCAGGCTCTCCGACCCCCAAAATTAGAATTTCTGGGCAAAATGGACCCATGGGATTGTTCTGTGCAGCCCCAGCCCCGGGTAGCCGCCCCTTGCCGGGCCAGCGAGACCTCGCCTTGCCGTTTCCGCCTCCTTCCCTCCCAAGCCTCGGTGGGGTCCCCTCTGCCTGCCACTGCCTGCTGCCTGCTGAGCCTCCCTCGGGGCCTCCCTGTGTAGGGGTGGGTGTGGGCTCCCCTCACCAACCTGTCTGAGGGGGAGACACCCCTGCGGTGGAAAAGCTGAATCGTGGTCAAGGAGAGGGGCTGCGGGGAAGTGGGTGGCGCAGGGAGCTCTTTATAGGTCCTCTGTAGAATGGCCTGGGCTTGGAGTTGCCCTGGAACATGGAAATGAAAGTGTTACGCAGAGGAGCTGGGCTGCTTGGAGGCCGCCTGGTCACTCAGACCCGCCAAGCTCTGGGAAAGAAAGAACCGGGAGGAGAGGAAATCATTTTTATTGCCCATAGTTTTTAGGAAAATCAATCAAGTCTTTGTGAGGGCGGGGAGAGGGGACTCTCTTTCAATCTATTTAGTGGGGAGGGGTCTCCGATCAGCCACTCACATAGACCGCCCCCAGCCCTCTTCTGGGATGACAAAGCCGTCCCTTCAAGTCCTGTGGATCCTCCTTCCAGAATCCCGGATTTCCCATGGCCCAGCCTGGCCTGAGGCCCCTCACAACCCCTTGGCTCCGGGTGCCAGCGGAAGCACATTCTGGAACCGTGGCCCTGCCGGGGACCCAGCTCTCTAAAGCCATTGTCCTGATTTCCTAGGCGCCTTTTAAACCTGCCGCCTCTATTCTAATTTTTTAAAGGAGCTCCCTCACTCTAACTTGAGGCATTAAAAATAATAATAATGATAAAATGTACCTTGGTTCTCAAAACGCCAAGACGTCGTACAGGGTTTTCCAAATTGGAAAAACCAAAGTAAGTTCAAGAAAAAAGGTTTTTATGTTCAGTTCTGGCTTTTGTTCTGCCAGGGAAGTCCTGCTGGGTCCTGGCCTCCTGTACAAGGCAGGTTTGCTCAGGTCCCCCCATTCTTCCTCCTCCTCCCGGGACTGGAAACGTTCTCGAGTCCTGGGGCCAGCGGGCAGTGGGTGATGCCCAGCGTGGAGAGCTGGGACCAGTTTCCAGCCCCCAGAGGCAGGAACGCTGGACCCGGCCTGTGACAGCTCATTTACTAGAACCTGGCTGGTCCAGGGAGGGGGCAGAGAAGGCCTCCCCTGGCCAGGGTCCCTGTTCCCAGCCGTGCAGTGCATCATCCTACCAAAGAGCAGCCGGACCTCAGGCAGCCGGACCACAGTCTTCCGAGTCAGGCCACCTGCTTTCTCATGCTGTAGCTGATTAGAAGCAGCTAATTAGAAGAAGGTCTGGCTGCTGGCCCAGAGGGAGGGAGTGACAGCTTCCAGCCGTAGTGAGCGATCAAACAGCAGACACCCCGCTCAGAAGCCCCGTGAGGACCTCCCCGGTTCCCTCAGCACATGCACAGCGTCAGTATGGAGGAAGAGGGGAAGGTTGGGGAAGGATCTGTGAAGTGCAGGTTCGCCACAAAAGGCCAGGTGACCGTCAGGGGAGCTGAAGCTGGTCTGCGCCCAGGCTGGCTCGTCCCCCCCCACCCCGGGACTGCCTTCTCCATTCCGGTGGCCCGTCCAGCGAGGCTGACTGGCCAGGTCCCACTTGAGCTCGGCCTCCGCAGGGCTGTCCCTCACCAGTGGGCCTGGCCGTCGGAGAGACTTCTGGGGTCCGCGTGGCCCCGCTCACAGTCTGCTTTGCTGGTGTGTACTCAGGGCGAGCAAGGGGTCCCAGGTGTGTCCGGAGATCCCGGCTTCCAAGGAGACAAGGTAACTGCTTCAGGTGCTCCCCACCCCGCACCCCTGTCCCGCCCCCCTCTGCACCCCTGCCCCACCTGTCCCCTGGCCTGGCTTCTTTCCCAGAGCCCAGCATGGGCAGGACGACCTGAGATGGCTCTGTCATACAGTCCTGTCTGTCCTCCCAGTCTCTCACCTCCTACATTGCCCCCAAGGACTGCTCTGGTCTGTGCTCACACACCTCCCGGCTCCCCACCCAGCCACGCAGGAGCCCAGCCCAGGGCCCTCCCCACCGTGGCCCTGGGCTCCAGCCCCGTGAACTGCCAGCTGTGCCTCAGGCCCTTTGCCCACTCTGCTGCCCACCTGACCCCACCCCCACTGCCTCTCCACACCACCTGCTCAGAGGCCACGCTGTCTACCTGCTCGAAAAGCGGCCGTTTCCCTCCCTGGAGCCCTGGACAGCACATCTGTCCTTCAGTTCTGACACCATGGTTCTCCTGGTTTTGGAGACTTGTGGGCAGGCACCCCTGTCCCCGACAGTGAGTTCTCCCATAGGGCCCTGGGCTGCTCTGAGCTCTCCTCAGGGCTGCACTTCCCAGTGGACATTCAGGAGTGTGAGTGGCCTTGCTGACCCATTGAGCGGGGGGCGTGGTCATCACCACCAGGATGTCCCTGTCTGCAGAGCCAGCTGTGGCCTGAGGACACCAGCCCCCATCTGCCCGCGTCTACACCCTATGGCCACAGCTGGACCTCTGCCAGCCAGTCCACCAGGCCCAGATGTTGGCCAGCTCTCCCTCCTGGCTGGCCATCCTGAGCTGGCCTTGGTGTTCCCCTCGGGTGACTACACAGGCCTGGCTGCTGCTTCTGCTGAGCCCTGGTGTCCAGGCTCCGTGGGCCTCCAGGGCTCCTGGGGTCCTGGGAGGACAGGCTGCCCTTTCACCCTGGTGCTAGGGCCCAGCCTCCAGGGGTGCAGACAGGTGTGATCCCTGCAGTAGAAAGAAAGGTCCTGTCCTCTCCACGAGGGCCTTGTCCAGCCTGGGCTGGAGGGGGACAGGCAGCTGTTCTCGGCCTCTCTGGTGGGAGCTAACCCAGCCTGCCCACTCTTTTTCCAGGGCAGCCAGGGGTTGCCAGGGTTCCCGGGCGCCCGGGGCAAGCCAGGCCCTCTGGTGAGTACCTTCTCCCAGCACCCCTCCACCTGGTGTCACCTCTGTCATGGGATGTGGCTGGGTGCCTTCCCATCAGGGCCTCCCGTCCTCCTGCAGACAAATGAGTGAGCAGCACAGGTGGACAGGGCAGGGCCATTTGCCCATTTCCCTGATGCAGACACCGAGCCCAAGGTGCAGTGGTCACCCACATCACAGATGGCCTCATTCACTGTGGGCTACTGTAGTGATGTCACTTGTCCCAGTGGTGTCACTAACTGTGCCACCATCAGGCCCTTTGTACCACTGTTTCTTTGAGGGCCGCCAATCGCCAGGAGTTAGGGTTACTGTCCCCATTATATAAAGATGGGGAGACTGGGGTTCTGAGGTCGTTTGCCTGGGGTCCCCCAGCTGGAGAGTGTGGGAGTTGGGGCTTGAGAACTGGCTCAGGTAATTTCATGCGTATATGCTCCAGAACGTTCTGACCACCCACCACCCCAGGAGATGACGCAGGGACCTCGTGACCGCCACTCCCCAATCTCTTCTCTTCCACAGGGCAGAGTCGGAGACAAAGGCTCCCTGGGGTTCCCTGGGCCCCCTGGACCCGAGGTACGTGTTGCTCTGTCTCCGCCTGCAGCTGGACTGGGTGTTGTCCTGGGGAAACTGAGGCCCAGAGGTGTGGGGGACGTGCTTCAGGTCACGTAGCTTATGGGCGATGAAGCAGAGCACAGCAGCTCCCAGATCACAGCTCTCCTGTCCAGGGCTCTCAAAACACCCACGACAAGGAGCTGGCCTCCGAGTCCTTCCTCAGGTGGCTCTGGGTCCAGGTGGACAGTCCGCCTGTGGTGGACTGTCACGAGCAGGCAGGACTCTTCGACCCCTGCACGTTCCTGGGGCTGGGCCGTTGTCTGTGTCGGGGTCATCTGCACCCAGGCCCCCCCCAGCAGGCCCCCCCACGGTGCACCTGGAGCCCCGGGCTCGGCCATCCCTGCTGCCTCTGCATCCAGGGGAGAGTGGCCCTGCGGTCCTCCAGGCCTTTCCAAAGATCACTTCTGGACTCCCTGGACAGACAGGGAAGGTTTCCTAAATCCACAGTCTGACTTTCCACTTGTTGACTTTGGCCGCGACGCAGCCCTATCTTTAGACAATGAGGTTGGCCCCGAGTCCCTCCGCTGGTCACTGTGGAAAAAGACTTCTGAGTCCGGGACTCCCAGCAGCCTGGCCAGCCAGGGCGGAAGGCCTGCACCCTCAGGTTTATGAGGCCCCTCCTGCGGCCAGCAGCTGCGGGGTCCTAGGACGAGGTGAAGTGCCCCCTAGCAGGGGTGGGGAGGCCGCTACCTCATTCGCAGACGAGGAAACCGAGTCCCAGGGCAGGGCACGGACTTCCCCAGGGCCACTCCACACAGGGTGGATCAGGTCGGCTCTGACGGTGTCCAGGGCCCTAGACAGACAGTCCCCCCTCCCACCTTGGCGCTGCTGTGATTGGCAACTCCACAGCCAGGAGGTGCCTCTGCTGGGCTAAGGCAGGAGACAGCTGAGAGGGCCACTGTCCCCGCTGTCCAGCACCCAGGGGAATGTCTCCCTCGCTCATTCTGGGCCGGATGTGAGTGAGCACCAGAATTTAACTAGCATCCTGCTGCCAAGTTCTTCTTGGTCCTGGGCCACCTGGGTAGACTTGTTTGCCCAGCACAAGGGACTCAAAATCATTGTGGATGTAGAGATATATATATATTTTTATTGAGCACTTACTCAGTGCTGGGCACCAAACTCAGTGCTTTGCCTGTGTTGTTCACTTAAGCCTCAGTACAGCCCTGCCTGTAAGGTGTGTGTTACAGATCAGGAATCCAAGGTCCAGAGAGGCTAAGGAACTTTCCTGCAGTCACACAGTGAGTGAGCAGAAGGGCGAGATTTTGATCTTTTCATTATGAAGGAAAACACATGGAGTTTTGGCTTCAGGGTTAGCTCCAAATTCAGGACTGTTCTTGCTTTGCCTGTAAGCAGGCTGAGAAGGTATTTGAGCCAGAATTGTATAAAAGTTACTAAAAGGTTAAAAGAGAAAGAAAAACAATCTAGCCAACTTACGAAGGCAAAGTGAAAGGAAACATTTTGGTGAAGAAACTCGTAAACTTTGGTTTCTAGCTGGCAGGAGACTGAGATAGTGGGGCTGCCCTAAAAGCTAATGGGGTTCCTGGCTGAATTAACAGAGGCATCACACCTAAAACAAGGAAGGGGATGTTCCTGTACTGGCTCTTGTTCCTTAGCCCGCCCCAAAAGAAGCATGGGTGTCGTTGTCCTGGTGGTCACCAGCAATGGAAACCAGCCAACTGGAGAGAGCCAGGTTGAGGGCCCTGGGCCCCTGACTAGCAGCCATTGAAGACACAGAGAAGGGCCCACCTTTGGGGACAGGGGACCTGGTCTCCAAATTATACAGAGAGCACTGACCTCAAGAGGGACCCTGTGCCTCTGGGACCCCATGCGGCCACCGGAGGTGCTGAGGGGGACGGAGCCGATTCCCCTACCCCCAGGGCGGGCTGCATCAGGGGGACCGTGGGGCATAGTAGGTGGCGCAGGGCCAAGTCCCACAGGCCTGGCTGGGATGTCACCGGGATCTCAGCCCCTGACAGAGGCGCTGCGGTTAGTACCTTCCGCGTGTCCCAGCAAACCAGGAGGACAGTGGCACGGCAGGGGCTGCAGCTCATGACGGGGGGCATCCCAGGCTGGTGGCTGGCGGGAGCAAGGTCCCAGACCCCAAACCTCTGTCTGTCCCAGTAACTTCGCGGGACTTGGGACTTCTGGGTGGGACCAGCTCGCTCGTGGCCTCCTGTACCCTCCTGCGCCTTTCCTCAGCCCCTGAGCTGCAGGGCGGGGTGCCCGTCCCTGTCTAGGATTGAGGTGTGCACATGGGGCGCCTCCGCTGCTGCAGCCGGCTGCCCACCCAGGTCAGCTCCTGCAGGACGCCCCAGCCCTTTCCTGCAGGGCCCCGTGACCCCAGCCTCTGCTTCCCCTCAGGGATTCCCAGGAGACATCGGCCCCCCTGGGGACAATGGCCCCGAAGGCGAGAAGGTGAGTTCCTGCCCGGAGCAGCCCCCGCCCAGGAAGCAGAGGGACGCCCTCTGAGACCCTTGTTGTTCCCTCCTCTCAGGGAAAGCCTGGAGCTCGAGGCCTGCCCGGACCCCGAGGACAGCTGGGGCCCGAGGTGAGACCCACCTGTCCCCCACTACCCACTCTGGCCTGTCTGCGGCCCTGGGCCACCCCGGCACATCCACCTTGTCCTGTACACCCCTGCCCCTGTGCCCCACCCAGGGATCGCAAATGCCCTGGCCTGGCAGGAGGGGTCTCCCCCATCTCTGCTGCCCCTTCCCTCAGTGCCATGGCAACCCCCTGCCCCCCACCAAGCTTCTGGTCAGCTCACGTCACACAGCAGCGTGTCGGGACATCTGTCCAGAAGGGAGGGGATCGTCAGCCCCATTTACAGATGAGGCCCAGGACGGGCAGAGTCTGCAGGTCCCTGGTTAGTGGCAGGCAGGGTCTTGACAGGAGCTCAGGTCTCCGTTAGCCTCAGGTTTCATGCCACTCATCTGTCACCGTCTGCTCCCGGGAGTGGCCAGAGCACTTACTAGTGGCCTCAGGAGTAGCAGGGGAGGATCTGCTCATTCTCATGCGCTCACATGGGGGGCGAGAAGGGTCTCCAGGGGCCTGTTGGTTTGGCCCATGTGTGAAGCCCTCCTGAGCCCAGTGACACGTGGTCGGGGCTTGTGGCATGGCAGGCAAGGCTCCCAGGACCGACCGCAGGCAGGCCGCGCTGACTCCATCCCTTCTCCTGCGGGTTCTGGGCCTGGCAGGGCCCCAGCGCTGGCTCCAAAGCCGCCACGTGGGGCTGCTTTCCTGGAAGCTTGGCCTGGCCTGCCAGAGGGGGCAAGTTTGGGGCTCCGTGGGCCGGAGGGCTGGGGAGTCCTGGGAGCCAGCAGCCAGCCGGTAGGAGGAAGAGGAAGGAGGGACGGCCCGCCACGTGCTCCTGTCTGCACTCCTATCGCCGCGGAAAACCCTCCTGCTCTCCTGCCTGCCTTCTGCTCACGGCTCCCACGGCCTCCTTTGTTACCAAATGCCTGCTGGACGCGGCCCTGGGGCTTCAGGAAGGAACAGGCGTCATCACTGTCCCTTCAGCCAGGACCCAGCTGAAGCCACTTATCGCTTTCCAAGGACTGTCCACACCAGGGAGACTGAGGCCCAGAGGCTGCCGGCAGCCAGTGGAGTCCGAGTAGAGGCAGGTCTTTGAGACACAGTCTGGGGCTCTGCTCTCAGGGCCAGTCGTGACCTGTCCTCTGGGCCAGGACCGGCGGAGCCCCTGACCCAGGCCAGGAGCAGTTCGCATGTCCAGGAGGTCCTTCTCCGTCCACCTCTTTCTCTGCTTAGAGGGAGTTCTCAAGAGACTCGCCCAGTGACCTTTCTTCTTTTTCCTGTCTCCAACTCCAGGGAGATGAGGGACCGATGGGGCCACCAGGAGCCCCTGGCCTGGAGGTGAGTGTCACCTGCCTGAGGGAGGGAGTGGATTCACTGGGGCAGAACCAGCTGTGAACAGCAGAGAGCAGTCAGCCGCGAGGGCCCTGGGCCTGGAGAGGGAGCACCGGGCACCGAGGAGAGAGGTGGTTGGCGGAAGGGTGGAAGTCGGCCGGGATCTCAGCCCAGGGTCTTCCCCATGGGCTGGGGAGGGCCAAAGTACCCCAAGAGGTGGCATACCGTGAGCCTGAGTCCTCTGCACCCTCTGAGCGGCTTTCCAGGGGCCGCCTGACCATTGCCTTCCTCCCAGCAGTGGGTCAAAAAGAAGGCCAGCCAGGCGCGGTGGCAGATGTCTGTAACCCCAGTGGCTCTAGAGGCTGAGGCAGGAGGATCTGGAGTTCAAAGCCAGCCTCAGCAACAGCGAGGCTCTAAGAACTCAGTGAGACCCTGGCTCTAAATAAAACACAAAATGGGGCTGGGGATGTGGCTCAGTGGTCTAGTGTCCCTGGGTTTAACCCCTGGTATTGAAAAAAAAACAACAACAACAAAGAGGACCCAAAGAGCTTTTGTTTGTGTGGGTTGCATCACAATTAGTAATTAAAAATTAGTAATAAAAATCATATTAGTAGTTAAATCAAGACACTTTAAATGTATCTATTCATCCATTGGCAATTAATAATAAGCGCACTGCATGTAAACACTGTGTTTTTTTTTTTAAAACCAAAAATCACTCTATTTTCCAAAACAAGACAATTGAGTGGAAAAGTACCCTGGTTTTACCATTTTTGCAAATCTCTTTAACGTCTGGTGTAACAGACATGGACTCTCGGGTCCGCCCTGCCTGTGGCCTGCTCCTGAGAACACCCGTCACACGCCCCACAAGACGCCCCTCACACTCGGGTGTGTGAGAGCCTCGGGGGCAGACTGCACCTTAGTGTTGTGAAAGTAGCTTTGAGCTCTCGACCCTCTTGGGAGGGCCTTGGGGACCCGCAGTATCCTCTGGCCACACTTTGAGGCCCCCTAAATAACCCCACCACCACCCTGGGACCTCATGAGGTTGGAAGCAGTTGTCACCATTCCTCCTGACAAGCAAGGGGACAGGGGGTGAGGAGGCTCCGAGACCATCCGGCTGGAGGCCCCTGTGTCACAGGACATGGGCTCACGTCTCCACCTCTTGGGGTACTTTGGCCCTCCCAGCCCATGGGAGGACCCTGGGCCACGTCCTCAGAGTTGCCCAGGACCCAGCAGTGCTGCCCCTTCCGGCCTCTCACTCACTCTCTCTGTTGCAGGGTCAACCTGGCAGGAAGGGATTTCCAGGGAGGCCTGGCCCAGATGGCGTGAAGGTGAGGGGACCTGGAATGAAAGTGGAGGGGGTCCCACATTTGAAGGCCCCAGGATAAGCCCCAAATCCTATGGCCAGTTGGAAAAGGAAGAAAAAAATTGGCCGTCATTGGTAACGGGAGAAGGGGGGAGAACTAACCTAAATGTCCAACAGAAGGGGATTGTTCATGTAATGGAATGTAGAACAGCTACCCACCATGGTGTTGGGAAGATGCCCGTGTGTAGGGGGATGGGATAGTGATGGGGACCAGATTATAAAACCAGTGTTAGTCACGAGCCTATTGCAGGTGCTGGGTGGCCCCTTCTTCCTTCATATACAAAGCAGACAGTAGAAAATGGACTGGTCATCTCTAAGTGATGGGAGAAGAGGGGATTTCCATATTCTTCTCTGTGCTTCCTATTCCCCCTGTGTGCAATAAATATGGGTTAGCTTTGTTAACAGAATTTGTTAACAGAACCCCCCTGGTGGGTTTCCAGGCCCCCGGGAGGGGCAGTGTCGTTGATGAGGATGCTGTGGGCTTAGATGTTCTCAGCTATTCCGGGCAAGAGGTTGCTGGGCCAGGTTTTCAGGTGGGCAGGCAGAGCCAGGGGAGCCCAGGTGGCCAGTGACCGCGTCCCTTCAGGAGCTTGGCCCAGGTCCTCCCCAGGCCCTTTCTGGTTCTCGTGAACGTGGTCCCAGGAAGGAGCCGAGGGGAGATGAAGCTGCATGGAAGACCACAGGCCACATCCATTTCCCAGCCAAACTCTGCCAGTCCACACCCACGTCCTGCCCTCTGAGGTCCCGCTGCTGTCCCTCAGACAGAGGTTGGGTTTCTGTGGTAGAGGCGATGCTGTCCCAGGGGATTTACCCCACGGGTCTGTCACCTCCCTAGCTCTGCAGTGGGAAGACCAGGGCAGCCACGGCCACCTATGGAGCAGGGGCCACCCACCCAGAACAGCCAGGCATGGCTGTGACAGGTTGCCAGCCTGGAACCTGGAACTGGCCTGGTACCAGTGGCCACTGGGTCCGTGGCCCCGGAAGGCCTGGGGGATTCCTTGGGAGGCCCGGACTCCGTCTTGCATTCCCATCTCTCCTCCTGTGTCTTTTCAGGGGGAGCCAGGGGATCCTGGGCGGCCAGGGCCTGTGGGTGAGCAGGTAAGTGATCGGTGCCTCTGAACGCAGTTGATGGGCACCTACTGTATGTAAGCTCCCCATTTGGGATTCTCAGAACGGGGCCGGCCCCGGTTCTACTCTCTCTCACTTCCACGGCCGTGGACAGTGGCTCTCGGGAAGTCTCTGGAGGAGGAGGTCATCCCAGGCCTGGCTCTGCACGATGGTTGGGTACATTTGCTCAGACATGTTACGTGACTCGTTTCTAGAACTGGAGCTAGAGCCGGAGGGGCCCTGAGCGATCGCACATGCTTCCCCTTCCCAGGTCACAGGTCAGGAGGCCTAGGCCGGAGAAGGGGAACCAGTCCAGGGCTCGTGGTCCGGGCATCCCCCAAATTATAGAGGACAACATGCAAACCAGCGGCCGGCTAGCTGGGAAGCCGGGCCAAGGTCTGCGGGAGAGAGGCGTCTGCGACTAGTCATTAAGAAAGCAGTTGTGGCTCGCCACCCTCAGCTGTCACAGTGGAGGGGAGCAGCCCCGCGGCCAGTGGACTGGCCTCCATCCCTCCCGCCCAGCCCTGGCGCCTGCCTCCAGCTTCTCTGGGCTCAGAGGTGGCCATCTCCTTGAGGCCTTCAAACAAGGACCCCTCCTTGAGGACCCTGGAGGGCTTCCTCAGCAGGGCCAGGGGCGCGATGCTGGGGACCCAGAAGGGCACGGTGACACTGAGAGGCACCCTTAGTGGCGTGAGAGTCCCACACTGTGGCCTCCTCACTAGCCTGCACCATCTGTTGAGGGGAAGAAGGGATGGAAGCCAGGGGAGGCCTGGATTTTTGAAATCTTTCCAGTGTCATTCGAGCACATTCTGTGGGAAGCCCGGGAGTTTGGAAAGGCTGCCTCAGCCTGGATGTATTTCCTGATTGGAAAAAAAGGAAAGAAAGAAAAAAGGCAACATGATCACAAATTCAATTTCACAGTTATGCTAATGGGAGGGCCCTGGGAAATAGATACCCAGAATCCCAGAACAGCAGGACTCAAAGGGTCCCTGGAAATCACTGGGTCCAAATGCTTGGATTCCTTTGCCAGGCCGATGAGACCCGGCCCCGCACCCGCTTCTCAGACTGGTTTTTAAATGCATCACATCGAGAACAAAGGACGCGAAGGAAACCGATCATATGGAAATAGTCATGGGAGTCTGTCCAGACGGGGCACCTCCTGTCCACCATTCTCATCAGGGCATTCAATAGCAAGATCTAGAGCCAGTCTAGGAATGACCTCAATTTTGGAGTGTTCAAGATTTCCGCACAGTGACCGTGGGGTGAGAGGAACTATCTGGGACAGTCTTGGGTCTAGGAACCGACTGGGTTTGGTTTTCCTCTATTCAAAGGAAATGCTGGGTTCTCATTAGAGGTTCATGAATATAAAGCTGTCATGTTTTCCGTTCGGGCTTGTGGACCCTCTGAATTCTATTCGGAGACCCTCGCTGGGACCCCTGGTTAAGAACTCCTGGATTCTGGCCCATGTTGACAATCTAGGGTTCATGGAAGAGAAGTCGTCTCCACCAAGTTGACCACGAGGGATAGTAGCCAGGACCAGGAGGCGTGGAACCTTACCTGGGGCAGCCCAGGCTCTCGTGGCAGCGACAGTCCCAGCTGGCTGTCCAGCTTGCTTGGACCACGATGGAGGAGCTATCTGAGCCAAGGCAGAGCTGGAGGCCACAGGCATGCCAGGGCCCTCCCCTCAGGGCCAAGGCGAGGGGCAGGCATTTCCTCTATGGCAGAATCTGAGGGTCCCCAGGACAGGGCTCCAGAGCTCCCAGCACATACCCTCCTCATAATCACAGTGACATTCACTGTGAGTTCCCAGATGCTGTGCCGGACACCCTAGGCACCTTTGCAGCCCCCCAACAGCACTATGATGGGTGGCATTATTATTCCCATTTTGCAAATGAGGAAACTGAGGCTCTGAGAAGTTAAATAGCGTGTCGAAGACATCACAGCAGGGACCAAGGTGTCAGAGCCCGGGCTGGCACCGACGCCTGCTGTGTTCCCAGGGGCTGTCCTGGAGGGGCTGGATACTCTCTGACTTCCTGAGCCCTTGCTTGGATCTGCTGGCTTCCAGCAGCTCTATCCCAGGAACGCCCAGCATGCCCATGCCTGCCCACCCTGAGCTGTGTGTCCCACAGGGGTGCACAGCTATCTCATTCTCTGTTGCACCCTGGCACCTAGCAGACTGTCACGTGGCAGGAGGGAAGGGGCCAGGGAGGAGAGAGCTAAGCAGACACTGGCAACCGTATCAGCAGGCAGCCTGAGGACCAGGCCAGACTTCTCCTCTAGCCTGGGGGCTCAGGTCCTACCTGTGCAGCACCCACCTAGGTAACAGCATTGTCTCCTACTCCGTGCCCTCTTAATGGCCCCAAAGGAGCTGGCCCTTCCCCCTGGCCTTCAGAGCTGCTTTGGAAGCCAGGGCCTCTGCTGCTGGCTCTGCTGGACCAGCCTTAGCTCCCTCCCCAGGGCAGGCCTGCCAGGATGTTCTGGGACAAGCCCAGCAGGGGTGCCAGGGGTGGGTGCAGGGATGGGGCACTCACTGCATGGCCCTTATTCATTAGGATCCTGTTTGGCTTCTTGCTGGGGTTTATGACCCACCTGCCTTCCAGGTCCCAACATCTCATAAATTTAAAGTAGCTATGAAATTTCTCTCTCCCTGGGCCAGTCGGCCAGGGCCTCTTAACAGAGCAGATTTTATTCCCTTCCTTTGGCCTCTTCTAAATGTTCAAGTGTTCCCTGGTGGGGAGCTCAGGCCACTGTCTCAGCCCCATGCCCTTTTCAATAAGCTAGGAGGGAATGGAGATCACTACGTTTATGGAGCACCTACACGTGCCACGCATTATCTTGGCTTTTCAGAACAATCCCAGGAGGTGGGGACCTCATCCTGCATCCCTGTTCCTTCCTGCCCAGGAACCCCCTCCCCAGGGAGACGGGCCCTCCTCATGGCCATGAGCTTCAGAGGCCTAGGGGTCGTGAGGAAGGCATGTGGGATTTGGAGTCACACTGACCACAGTGTCAACCCAGGTGGCAGAGCACTCCTGGCTGAAATTGCCACTTTAGAACTGTCTGGAGAAGGAAGGGTGGGTGACCCTTTGAGAGTGGGCTCTTACCAGTCCACCTGGCAGTGGACTGTCTTCCCTGCTGGAGCATGTGACCTCCACTCTAGTACCAGCTCCGAGTCTGATCTCACTCTGGCCAGAGTTGGGGGGGACAGGTCGTAGGTCTTCATGGGACAAATCCATTCCCTGCTGTCTTTCCTGATCCTCCTAGAAACTCTTGGCTGCAAATCTGGCTTCTTACAAAGCCCTGTTTGCACTTGAACCACAGAAGAGCCCTCTGCTCACATTTTCCTTAGCAGGGGAGGGTGGGCCTGAGCGAGCAGCCAGTGCCTTCCTGGGGGACTTGCCCCGGTGTCCGCCTATCCTAGGCATATGAGTGTGTGCCCTCTAGGGTGACAGCAGGGCCTGCAGCCACCTAGAAGAGTCCCTGGAACATAGAGGCAAGTTGTCGCCCAGGGAAGTTAAAAAGAGCCAGAGGACCACGGTGTGTGTGTGCGTGCACACGCATGTCCTTTCAGGCGGGGATAAGGAAGCCTTTCAGAAGATCGGAGAGGCCTCCGTGTTCCAAATTTCAATCAGGTCTTGGCAGATGTTGTTACGGTATTTCTATCGCAGCCAGCGGGTTTGTTTCTCTCTTTGAAACAGCCCCAAAGCCCCCAAAGATGGGGACAGATGGCCTCTTCCCAGAACAGCCCAGGCCCCCCCACCAGCCCCCAACTCTCCAAACGTGGCCGCCTCCCGGCCTGCTTCTGGCGCGGGAAGAATGTGTGGCACTCCCAGGGATGCTGGCAGCGGCCCCGCTTGGCTCCCAAATCAGAACCATCTGGCAGCGAGGGAAGGGAGGACCGTGCCCAGGGAGACAGCGCTCTCCTCCGCAGCCCCAGCCGGCTGGACGAGGGCTGGAGTGCCCGGGCAGGGGACCAGGGGACCTGAGGACTGAGCTCCAGAGGAGGGGAAGTGCAGACTGTCTCCATGGAAACTCAGCCGACTCCGCCTTCATGTTGTGTCCTCTGTTTTCATGAATGCTCCCTCCAGGGCCTTCTGGGATTCATCGGTCTAGTCGGGGAGCCAGGAATCGTGGGAGAAAAGGTAAGTGCTGCCCAGCGATCAGCCATCAGCAGGAGGGTTTTGAGGTGGATAAGGCCGAGGGTGCGTGGACCCGGGGCTTTCAGACCACTGCTGGCCTCTCGCTGGACTGGGCATTCAATGCCCTGCCAGTGCCTGCCTCCCATTTCCCGGCACCCCCTGGGGCCCCTGTCATTACCCACCGGCACAGTCAGACTTTTCTGTGTGACCACCAGGGGATGCCTGGGGCCTGGGCTGCAGGCACTTTCTGGGGTGGGCAACAGACGGAGGGAGCTTCATCTTGTAGAGAGATGAGGGGCACCTCCCCTCAGGCACCTCGGTAGCTCCCTACAGCTCTCACAGCTGAGGTGACCCAGGCTCCAGCAGAGAAGGTGACTTGCTTGACGTGCCCAGTAGTAAGAGGCGGAGCTGGGCCTTCATTATCCAAGGCCACAGCTGCCCACTGAGCCTCTCTGCTTCTCAAGAGCAGCCTGCGGTTCCCCTTCCCATGTCCCCCCCCCCCCACCGTCCAGGAAACAGCCTTCCTTTGAGCTTATCTGGTCCCCAGAGCAGGGCCCTGGCAGAGCCAGTATTGTCCCCACTGAATGGACAGGGAAATGAGGTCCACCCTCGTCGGGCCCCAGCTAACTTCCAGGCTCGCGCTGTGCCAGCCTCTGTCACTCGTGTCTGGGACACTCTGGCTGCTGCCCCTTTCCTCCTTGTCCTCCTCTTCCTTTAAATTGAACTTTTTATTTTGAAATAATTACCAATTTACAAGAAATTGGAAAAAATAACTAAAAGTAGAGAAGGGTCCCATGTGCCCTCAACCCTGTCCAGCAGGGCTGGCAGCTTTCACACCCAGCTTGTGACACCAGAGCCAATTCCTGCTGTCCCATTGCTCAGTCGTTCCGCTCCCTCTTCACCTACACGCCTGTGCCTTGGCCAGGTACTTCCCTGTCCCTCCCGCCCCGCCCTTTCAGCCTGGATAACTCTTAGTGACCCACAGCTCTTGGGCCACCTCCCGTGGTGGTACCTGGCCCTGTGACTTCCCTCCCAGCAAGTGCTCCGGGCCACACCTCTTCTGGAGGGTCCTGTCATCTCCCTGCCACACTGTCTTGCCTTGTGGGTAGGAGAAATCTGTTTCTGCTCCTCATTGAACATCCAGGGCCTGACATAGAGTGTTGGCCATACAGTAGGTGCTCAATAAATTCTTGCTGGCTGGGTGGAGACAAGAAGTGTGACTGAGCATCAACAGAGGCAAGGTGTGAGCTCAGAGGCCCTGCCTTCCCGCCCTGGCTGTGCCCGCAGCCCCAGCCCTCGCAGCGCCTCAGTCTGGATTGGGCGAGACGGAGGGAGTGGGCTCCGATCCTCCAGTATCTCATCTCAGTGTGGCCAGGGGGTGAGCGGAGTGGAGGGAAGGCTTTCTGTGACTCTTTCTGCCTTAGTGAGCCCAGCCCAGGGGATGCCAGGCCTAATGAGGACCGCACAGTGTGGTCAGGGTCAAGGGGAGAAGGCACTAGTCATTGGTGTGTCCTTTGTCACCATCCTGGCCCTATGGTCCTCTGCCGAGCAGGCTGCAGCCTCCCAGGACTCGTCTTGGTTTCCACCGAAGGAATCTCAGCTCCCCGTCTGGATGACGGGTCCATGAGCTGGGCAGGGACTCTCTATAGACAGTGGCCAAGTCCCTGTCCCTCTGTGGGCCCCTGGGAGGCCCTCAGCAGCTGACCCCTCAGTCACCCACAGCCACAGCTATGACCTCTCTGCATTGCTGTCTCCATTGCAGGGTGACCGAGGCGTGATAGGACCCCCAGGCGCGCCCGGAACCAAGGGGGTGATGGTAAGGAGTAAGTCTGCCTCCTCTGGCCCTCTCCTGTCGCAGCCTAGGGTGACCCCCTGCTCCTTCCCCACCTGCCACGTCTCCAAGACGTTCAGGAAAACCAGCTCCTTGTCCCTCCAGGAGGCCTGGTCTTTGCCCTCCGGCCCAGGCTAGGCCCAGCCAGGCAGGGCTGCAGGAGGGACAGGCCCAGGCCACAGCTGACCCCTCTCTTCCTCTGTTTCCACCACAGGGTCACCCTGGAGTGCCAGGTGGTGTTGGGACCCCCGGAGAGCCTGGACCCCTGGTGAGCAGAGGCCCCTGTTCCTGGGTGCAAACCCACTGTCTAGTGAGGACACCGAGTCCCGGCCTCAAGTCAGACAGAGCTGGGCTGGAGGGTCAGCCCGCCCTCCATGGCCATGTCCCGGGGCAGATCCTTGGATTTCTCTGAGTCCAAGTTTTGCTCATCTGAAAACCAGGAAGTAACCGCGGTCATGGTTGTGTGACTCTGCAGGTTAAAACAGACTGAGCTAGTGTCCCTACCGAGTGATGTGGCCTCTCAGGAGCAGCTTGGTCACCATCACTGCTTTTGTCCTTTCACTCATCTACTGGGGAAGTACCATGTGACATGCAGGCCTTGGGGGCCCCGACGTCCTGATTGCTGAGGAAGCTGGGGTGCTCCTGAGGACCCCAAGGCAGAGGTGGTGGACAGACGGGAAGGCTGTGGGAGAGGGGGAGCCAGGAACTCCTAGATCTAGGGCCCTTCCCCTAGGATTACTGGGGGGTCCGCTTTCATTTAGAGCAGGTGATCTTTGCTTGGGTCCCTCTGCTTATGAGGATGGAATCCGAGGGACAAAGCTGGCTTTGGCCAAGGTCAGGGCTCAGGTCTGGGAGCCTGTTCCCAGGTAGGGTTCCTCAGGTGACTGGGGTGGGCTAGGGGACCTGCCCAGGCCTGCATCCCAGGACAGAGCCAGGAAGGATGAGATCCGGCTTCCCAAGGTTCTGCAGACCGCAAACTGGGGAGCTCCCTGGGACCGCCTGACAAAGGCGGGCAGCCTCTGAGGTTGGAGCCTGGGCAGGCTCCGCTGGCCTGGCCGGTTCTCTGTGTGGATTAGGGAAGTCAGGCCAGCCACTGCCTGGCTCTTCCATGCACCTGCTGTGCCCAGCATAGGTAGGCGTACCTGCAGGTGCCAACTGGCAGGAAATAGATGTGCTCTTGGGAGTCTCACTCCGGGTGGGCTTCAGAGGACCAACGTTCTGCTGGGTGCAGCTCACCAGGCAGCTGAGGCACCAGCTTGGGCTCCAGTCGTCCTCCCCGTGTTGGAGATGAAGGGGTAGAGCCCAGCTGCATGGGGACCCCCTGGATAGGACAAAGGCCAAGGGCAAGGTGCCTGGGAGTCATCCACCTTCTGTGCCCTGGGCCTGGGCCAGAGGGCAGCCTGGACAGGAGTCACGGGGACAAGGTGGATGGCCAGTGGCGGGGTGGGACATCAGGCCGGGCACTGTGGGAAGGTGCAGGCCTTCTCTGCATCTCCGCCCGGCTCCACTCGCTTCTCTCCCCACTGGCCTCCGTGCATCCATCTGTTCAGTGGGGTGGCCCAGACTTCGTGATGCCAAGGTCGCCATTGACCTTTCCCTGCCCCAGTGTGGGACTTTGAGTCTCTTGAGGCTCCTGCTGGCCAGCCAGGTACCTAGGGCCAGGGACCCAGAAACCCTGCTTCCGCTGCAGACACGGAGCCCAACCCCGGCTCCCCGCCTGCCCAGCTGTGTGACTGCTGGCAATGTTCACAGCTTCTCTGAACCCGGGCTTCCTCCTTCGCAAGGGAGTATGATCTTACCTTAGTGTGAGAAGCTGCGAGAAGCACCCGGCCTCGTGGGTGGTGTGTGCTAAGCAAGCTTCCTGCTGTTGCCAAGGGCTCAGCAAGTGGCAGTGACATTTTGTTGAATGTGGCAGTTGCCCCTTTAATGGTGTTTCTCAGACTGTCACATGAGAGTGAGGTTTCGGCAGCTCCTCTTCCCCTCTGGTCAGCGTTTCCCCACGTTTCCAGTCCCTTCAGTGTCCACCTCCGCTCCAGCCCATTGAAGTCCGTCAAGTCTGAGCCTCATAACTGGGGATGGGGCAGGTGGGAAGGGCCTGGGACCTGCCCAGGGGGACCTGGTGACCCCAGCTGGGTCTAGTCTCCAGATCTGACCTTCTGCTCTCAAGAATGGATAGCTACCTTTCACTGAGGACCGTCCTCAGCGATGCCAGGAGGCAGGGACTCCCCCCTCCCCAAGTGCTCTCACCTCCGAGGACTTCTCTAAACCATGTTCCTCCCCACAGGGTCCTCCAGGATCGCGAGGCCCACCAGGCCTGAGGGGCCCTAAGGGACGCGGGGTAAGTCAGGCTCAGATCCTGGGGCATAGCTGGCCTCTGGTTCCAAGTTTCCTTCCGCTCATTTCCTTGCTCCTTCCTGCAGCCACGCCTTGACTGGCACCTGCAATGTGCCAACCACCACGGGGGCCCCAGAGGCATCGCTGGGAACAGGCGGGCATCAGGCCACGCACACGGCTTGGCAGAGCCGGGCCATGGATTGTGGGGTTACCAGAACGTGCGTGGTGGAAGCACAGGCCCCTTGGGAGCCCTGAGGCGGCCTTGCCAGGCAGGGCACCTAGGAAGGCCGGGGAGAGGGTGATGCCTGAGCTGGTACCCGGCTCCAGGCAGAGGACTGGAGTAGGACTTAGTAGGTACCATGCTAGACAGGGCTCAGAGGTCACAGCCCTGCTCTCAGGGTAGTGGGGAGCCACAGAAGACAAGAGTTGGCCTGAGCACAGTGGCCTGGGGCATCACTGACACTCCCTGCAGGCAGTCTCTTTCACATGCACTGACTCATCCAGTCCTCAGCACTACCCTGCCCCTAGGTGCTGTCTTATTGCCATTTTACACATGAGAAAACAGGTGCAGAGAGGTTTAGTCACTTGCCTCATGTTGCACAGCTAGAAAGGGGCGGAACTGGGATTTGAACCTGGGGAGTTTGGCTCTCTTAACATACTGGACTCAGCCTCTTTCTTGATCATGCAGGGAGGGTGGGTAGAATGGCCTCCTTCTGCCAGCTGTTGAGCAGGTGCCAAGCCATTCAGCCTCGCTACGAAGAGGAAACAAGCTGGAACGGGAACTGGGACTGATACCCAGCCCAACGCAGGGGATAGGATCACTCGCTGTTCACTCTTGGCTGGATTCCAACTAGTTCAAAAATTTCCTCTGCACCCGATGGCCTGAGCAGCTGGACCCAGAGAGAGAGGGGAGATAAAGAGGCACTGCCCTCCAGCCAACAGGGCCCCTCCCAGTGCCCGCGTCCCTGGTGTCTTCAAGGGGAAGAGGCCCATGGACAGCCAGGTTCCCTCTGCCCCGGAAAGCCTATTAGCTGGAGGGTGAGCTGCCATGGCCCAGCTCAGCCTCGGCCTGCTCCCTGCCCCGCTCCCCAGTGTCTGCACCACCCCTTCCCAGCAGAGCCTTGAGGAATTTCTCTCCGGCTTGAGGAAACCCAGGCTCCTGACCACATCAAAGTTCCCAGGACTGAGAGAAGAGATGGGATGGAGCTCCTCTCCCAGGGGGCTTGGCAGGAATGCAAACCTGTGGGATCACCCCAGGACCAGCCCAGCAGGCCTCCCTGGGCCGCTTCCCCCAGGTCACTGAGGGTGGGGCAGAGAGGCCCTGGGGTGGGGAGCACTCCCTCTGGGCAGGCCTGCCCAGCTCCGGGTTTGCCCAACCCCTGCAAGGCCTTGCTGCTCTCTGGGCCTCAGTCTCCGCATAGTGCCCTGGGAAGAATGAGCTTGAGGGGTGGGGGCTGCCCGTGGGGGCTGGACCCTCTGCTCTGGGCAGGGAGCTGCGGGCCGTGCCCACCAGCCGAAGCTGAGAGCAGGAGGGTTCTGGGTCAGAGGGGCTCAGCCTCCCCGCCTCCCGGATGTGGGGCCTCAGGCCGGTTTCCCAAGCTCCTGGAGGCTTTGTCCACCTACTCAGGTGTGCAGTTCAGAGGGGCCCAGGACCAGAGATCCAGGTGCCAGGGCCGCGCTCTGTGGCTGTGAGTGAGCTATGGCTTGTCCCCGGAAACTTCTCTTGAACCTCAGGCAATAGCCTCCCCCTCTGAGCCTCTGTTTCTTCCTCTGTAGACGGGTGGCCACAGAGGCCCCCCAGGGACATGGCCCAGAGGTTCTGTCCTTTCCCGAATGTCCCCAACATGCGGAGCCCGCATGTCTCTCTCAAGTCTCCCACTCCTCCTTTAGCGTTCCTCAGGAGGCAGAAGGTGGCTAGGTTTCCTCGCCCTGGCCAGGGTCCCCCGCCCAGTCCGACCCAGGCCTGGCTGGAGGCAGGGCCTGCAGACATGGCCTCTGGGTGTGGATGTGAGAGGGCAGGCTCTGCCAGAAGCCCAGGCCCAAAGCAGAGAGACCCTCCTGCTCCCTCCCGAGACTGGCCCCATCCCTGAGCCAGGCCTTGGCCTTGCCCTGGCCTCCCCCAGCAGGGTCTCCCAGACATGACCCTCTCAGCACCTCCTGCAGCTCCTCCAGCTGCCCCCCACCATGGAGCTGCCCCGCACCATGACGGGTGCTCCCCCACTGAGCAACAGGGATTCTGGGGAGGAAATGACGTGGGCTCCAGCTGACTTGGGTTCGAATTTCAGCTCTCCCTGGTGGCCCTGGGGCCACAAGCACATTCACTTCCACGCAGACCTCATCTGCAAGACCGTGGCCCGGCTTTCTCTATTGCTGTTACCGTGGCTTCTTAGTGTCACGATCGTCACCGGTTCAGCACTTTCTCCCTGCTCTCCTATGGTGAGCAGAGGGCAGCAGGGTCCAGGCCACACCAGGACCCCTCAGGGCCCCCTCCTTGGGAGTGCAGGCAGCTGATAAAGTGGATCAACAGTTTTCCTGTCTCGGTTGACTTGGTCCTCCTGTGTGTCAGTGGCTTTTCCTCCCCATTCCTCAGCCTCCCCCACCCAGACACTCCCCATCCTGGGGTCTGGAGGAGTATGCCAGGCTGCTCCTCCAGCCACCTCTGCCTGACACCCTTTGTCCCCCACAGAACAAGCACTGATCTGTTCCCCAGGGACCTTTTCCAGGAGACCCCATGCCATCTGTGGCTCTGTGGGAGTCCCCGTGGGGGACCCTGAAGGAGACCAGTTGCTGATGTGCTGAGGGCCTTGGGTGGTGGGCTTCCTTGGCCTGGCCTCTGTGTTCCCAGCTGTGCATATGAGAGCAGGACTCCTCCTGCCCCCGGACCTCTCCCCTGAGGGGACTGAGACTCCATCCAGTCTCCAGGGTCAGGACTGAGCCCAGGGCTCCAGAGGACACTGGCCCTGCTCCTGCCCCCTCCTGCTGCCAGTCCTCCCTCTGTGAGCTGGCCCAGCTCACACATCTGGCCACAGGTCCCCCGGTCCGGCTCAGTCTCCCCCGCACGCCCGCTTCCGCCATGCGTGTGCTCGGGAGGTGCAGGGTGTGAAGATCCAGCTGTGGGTCGTGGCCTCGTGGTTCTTGGTCCCACCCTCAGTCCCACATGTGGAGTGGGTCAGCTGGGTTACCCCCCACGAGGTCTGGAAAGATGGGGCCTCTCGCTGAGTCTCCCTGGCCATGCTGTCTGCAGTGCCATCTCGGCTGACACCCAAGGGTGACGTGGCTCAGGTGGCAGTGTGCAGGAGGGCACAAGGCAGAGCCCAGGCTTGTGCAGGAAAGGCCTAGGCTCCAGGAAGCCCCGCCATCCTGGCTCCCAGCCTGAGGAGACCCCTGCTGTCCACTGTGCTAGAACCTTCTTTCTTTTTCAGGGTCCCAGAGGACCGGATGGACCCGCTGGGGAGCAGGGGTCCAGGGGCCTGAAGGTACCAGCCATGTCCTGCCTTTACTCCCCCCCCCCACCCAGGGCAGGGGTTCCAGCACCAAAGCCAGAGGCCTGTCCTTTCCCAGCACCACCCCTAGGGGCAGCAGAGAGTCCTAGGGGAGGCTTAGGTCATCCCCAAGGCCAGTTGTCCTCCTGTCCCCGCAGGCCCAGAGAAGAGAAAGCAGGGGAGGGCGGCCGGAGGGGATCGCAGTGCCTCTGAACCCCAGGGCCCCAGCCTCACCAGTCTCCTTGAGCTGAGGCCATCTGACGTCCCTGTCAGTGGGACGGGGTCCTGATGGCTGTGGAAAGCCTGTCCTTTGCGGGGCCTTAGCTTTTCCGCCTGCACAGTGGGGACAGGGGAGGACGCTGTGGTCTTTCTGTGAGGTGGGTGCCTCCTGGGGAAGGGTCCTCCCACGAACCCCCCATCACTGTATGCACTCTGCTTCCTGCAGGGCCCTGCGGGACCTCGGGGCAGACCCGGCCAGCCTGGACAGCAGGTACGTCAGGCCAAGGTCACGCTGGCCGGCTGCCAGCCCCCACCCCACTCTCCACTCTGTGATGTGTGCCTCTAATGACCCCCAAATGTGCTTCCAGGGCGCAGCTGGTGAGCGAGGCTACTCGGGCCCACGAGGCTTCCTCGTAAGTGACAGTTCTCATCGTGGGGCTTTGGCACTGGGTGGGGTGCAGTAGCCACGGGTTCCTGGCCTGCTGCGGAGACCCCACGGCCTCCAGCCCCTTCAGTATGTGTCCTCCACTGGGTCTCTACCTCCCTGCCTGTCACATGGGATCACACCTGTGGGGTGGGGAAGACCCAGGACACCTGCGTGCCTCACCTGAGGTCCAGGAGCAGGCACAGCGATGGCAGGGAGGGACCGTGGTCACTGTGTCTCTCTCTGCAGGGCATCCCGGGTCCCTCAGGCCCCCCTGGCACCAAGGGCCTCCCAGGAGAACCGGTCAGTGTCCCTTACCCTCTTGATACCTTTGTGCTGGTCTCAGACCAGCCACCAGGGGTGTGGGCCAGACAAGGAGCAGGGCTGGAAAGGGACCATACCGGGCCCCACTGTCCCCCGGCCAGGCCCAGGTGGGGGCGAGAGCCCTGCCCAAACTCCATGCCTGGGCCTCCATGCACTTCCTTGCAGCCTGTTCTGCCATTAAGGAGGGGACAGCTGCCCCTGCCCTGCCCATCTGTGGTGGGGAGGAGATGGGAGATGTATGGAGGACATGCAGTGCAGAGAAAGGTGGGGAGGAGACAGACGGGGACAACCGGTCAGCACACTAGGGGCTGCCAGGAGGTGGCTGGCCATGGCCAGCATCGGCCCTTTGTCCTAAGAGTGAGGGAGCCGTTGAAGAGCGTGACCTGCTGTCAGGAGATGCCAGGGGCTGGGCTTGGGGGATTGCCCAGGTGTCCCCATTCCTGTGGAGGCTGCCGGGGCCAGCGCTGCTGCTGAGATGGGGGTCAGGGCGGCTCCAGAGCTCAGAGCGAGTGCCTGGGCCCTCCCCAGAGGGCACTAGGGTGGGCAGGAGGCTCTGCCCCAGGGCCTGGATGAGAGAGAGGCCCTTTGAGTGCTGGGTTGTCCAGGACAGAGGTGGGGGTCTGTGGGGTAGAGGACCAGGGTGAGCCAGGCCCAAAGCCCGGGCCCCAGGGCAGCTGGGCTTGGTGGGTGAGTGGGAGGGTGCAGGTGGTTGGGGGACCCACAGGAGACTGGGACTGAGGACCTGGACTTCTAGGGTCCTGCAGTGCGGCTGGAGTGTGCTCGGCTGTGGGCTGGGCTGCTCCGTCCCAGGACCTGCTGGTCCTCCCCTCCCCCGCCACTCCAGCCTGTGTGGTAGGAAACTGGCTTCTCCCAACTGTGTGTCTGTCTTCCAGGGCCCTCAGGGACCCCAGGGACCAGTGGGCCCTCTGGGAGAGATGGGACCCAAGGTGAGTGCTGGGCACCCTTGCTGGTCCTTCCTGCTGCCCCTCCCGCCTCCTCCTAGGGGCACCCTCCTGTCCCGTCCTGGCCCAGGGAGATGGCGGAGCCTTGTGTGCTGAGACTGGAGCTTAGGCCCTGCAGAGAGCGGAGGCCCCAGCCAGAGGCAGAGACCAGAGCTGGGCTCCCAGGCCCAGGCCCTCCAGGTTGGCAGGGCCTCTTTGCCTCACTGAGAGTACCTGCATCCCCCCTGCTGGGAAGTCAGCCAACAGAGGCAGGACCAGACAGCCTCAGGCAGCAAGGAGCAGAGGGGCCTCAGAGCTCCGGGCCTTATCCAGAGGAGAAAGCCAAGCCCTGGGGTTTATGTGAGGCCAAGGCCATGCTCGGGTGACGCAGCACCCCTTTGTCCTGACCTGGCCCTACTGCAGAGAAGAGCTTGACCGCTCAGCCCTGAGCTCACAGTGGCCTTGTCCCAGGCCTTAGGTGAACCACGAGTTCCCCCCCTGGGCTTGCCCAGGGCTCCTAGGTAGTAAACCACACTCATGGGCAGGGAGAGGGTCCAGCAGCCACAGGTAGTCCTAAGGTGTGGCCAGTCTGGGCCCAGCCACCCTCCCTAGACCCAGATCAGGCTCCCAGAAGCTGCTGCCTGCTTCTATCTCTGTGTCTCTCATGCTGTGTGACCTGAGTATATCCCTGGCCCTCTCTGGGCCTCAGTTACCCCCTTGCTTACAACCGGGGGCCGGCCCTTGCTCTAGGAGAGACTGATGGCATTTTCTTGCAGGGGCCACCAGGTGCAGTGGGAGAACCCGGCCTTCCTGGGGAAGCAGGGATGAAGGTGAGGCGGGATGAAAGACGAGAAAAATGGCTGTCGACACCAGCGCCCAGCTGCCACTGTCCGTGTCCCCCACCCCCACCCGCAGAAGAAACAGGCGTTTCTTGTGCCTGGGATAATGGGCTCTCTGTGCTCCTGCTGGGGAGCAGGCCTGGGGTGGCCACGGTGGGTGCCCGTCTGCCCAGAGCCCTGCCCTGCCCCTGCCGGGCAGCGTTTTCTCTAGCACCTGCCAGGCTGCATGTCGGGGGGCCGCACCTCTGGGCTGAGATGCCACCTGCGTCTCAGCATTGCTGTCCCCCGTTGCCAAGAAGCAGATGCCCACTGAACCTGGGCCTGGGAGGGCTCCCACTTCTGCTGTTGGAAGAGGGCCTGCGACCCGGGGAGCCGGCCAGGGGCCGCGGGCTGGCGCAGATCCCCCCAGTCCCGCCACGTGCCTGAGTCTCCCTGTCATTCAGAGGGCACTGGACTGGCCTGTGGCTGTCAGGCTTGGCTTAGCTCCAGAACCTTTGCTCAAAGAACAATGGTGACCCCCGCCCCCCATGTAGGAACAGGTGGGGAGGGCTGAGCTCTGCCTCCTCCTCGTGCCCCAGACCCCAGCAGGAGAGTGGGCCTTGGAAGTCCTGCATGAGAAGGACCCCTTGGGGATCTCCAGGGTGCAGATGACTCTTACTCGAGCCTCCGCCTGGTCTGAGTTTCTTTCCCAGTCTCCAGGAAGGGCAAGAAGCTGTCGGTTAGAGTGGCCATCCTGTACCGAGCCTCCAGGCCAGGCCACTCCAATCTGTACCCTGAGTGTGTCACCAGACACGGGCCCTGCGCTAGACTATGGTCTGGTTACTGACCAGAGTTTCTCTCCTTCAGGGTAGTGGCGAAAGCCAGAGGTGTTCAGAGCAAACAGTACTTAGGACAGTGCGCCATTACCCGTGAAGATAATGGTGATGGTGAAGGTGGTGGTGATGGTGATGGTGATGGTGATGATGGTGATTATGATGTGAAGGTAGTGATGGTGGTGATAGTAATGACAGTAATGATGATCACGGGCATTATGGTAATGGTGGTGATAGTGGAGGTGATGACTGGAAGGTGGTGATGATGGTGGTGGTGATGATGATGGTGGTGGTGATGATGATGGTGGTGGTGGTGATAATCATGATGTTGATGATTTTGAGGATGATGGTGGTGGTCTTGACAGTGATGGTTATAATAATGATGGTGATGACAATGAGAAGCTGCTGATGGTGATAGTGATGATAATGGTGATGATAATTAGGGATATGATAATCATGGTAATGGTGATAGTGATAATGGTAATATTTGCAATGATGATGGTGGTGGTGGTGGTGATGGTGGTGATGAAATTAGAAGGAGTTGATGGAGGTGGATACAATAATCATGATGATGGTACTGGTGGTGATGATGGAATGGTGGTGGTGACAATGATGATGGTGATTTTGATGATATGATGGTGATGGTGGTGGTTCTGGTGGTGATTATGGTGGAGATGATAATCATGGTGATGGTGGTGATTATGGTGGAGATGATAATCATGGTCATGGTGGTGATGGTGATGGTGGTGATGGTAGTGATTATGGTGGAGATGATAATCATGGTGATGGTGATGGTGGTGATGGTGGTGATTAGGGTGGTGATGGTGGCGATTATGGTGGAGATGATAATCATGGTGGTGGTGATGGTGGTGATTAGGGTGGTGATGGTGGTGATTATGGTGGAGATGATAATCATGGTGATGGTGGTGATGGTGGTGATGGTCATGGTGATGGTGGTGATGGTAGTGATTATGGTGGAGATGATAATCATGGTGATGGTGATGGTCTTTCTTCCCTGGTGCTGGGGAAGCCCATGTCCAGGGCTGACCTAGAGTAGGGGCTCTGGTTGATGCTTTATGATCGTGTTTGGTCCTTGGGAAGAGGGACTTCCCCAGCTCCCTCCTGCCCCCTGGTGGAAACAGGAGAGGGTTGGGAGGACCGGGACTGGTGCTGCCTGCCTTCATGGACTTGTGTTTGGCTTCTCCTAGGGTGACCTTGGACCCCTGGGCACCCCTGGGGAGCAGGGCCTCGTTGGGCAGCGGGTAAGTAGCAGCAGTGCTTCTCCCTGGAAAGCCCAGGGCGTGGGCGCAGGCGAGGAAGGGAGAGAAGGGCTCCATTCAGCCTCCTTGATCCTCGGTTTCCTCAGCTTAGAAACAGACCAGGCCTCTTCCCGGCCTCGTGCACCCCCATCACCAGCGTTTCCCCAGTGTGGAGGAAAGCGTTCTGTGGCTGGGGACGTTGGGGACGTGCGCGCCTGGTGTTCGCGCTTACCCATTAGCACCTCTGAGAAGGCCTGCAGTCAGGAGCGTGGCCTCCTCTGGGTGAACCCAGGGCGTCCAAAGGCATCGAAATTCCAGGGATTTTATTGAGAACATGTTTGTCCTTCAGAACTGTCCACAGTTGTCCCTCCTTCTCCAAGAGAGACCTGTGAAGCCCTGGAGGGCCCTGGGGCCATTTCTTTATATTCCCTGCTGGTTTATTAAGTCCTCCTGAACATGACCCCTGGGCAGCTTGAGGACACGGCAGGTCCACGGGGGAGAGGGCGTCTGAGGGCCTCTGTTCATGGGCTCCAGGCCTGACCATGTGTCCATCTTTCCTCCTGTCCAACACCTTGTGCTCCCCTGGCCCAAGGAGGGGGGCTCTCTGGACCCCTCCCAGTATAATAACATGTCTTGGTCTCTCTCATCCCCTTTCCAGGGAGAGCCAGGCCTCGAGGGTGACGGTGGCCCTGCAGGGCCCGACGGGCTGAAGGTACGTGCCCTCTGGGTCAGGAGCTGGGAGGAGAGGGCCAGTTCTGCCCTCCCAGAGCACCCCTCCCCACAGCCTCTGCCGTCAGTGTGGCCCCCTGGGAGCCTGGCCCTGCCCACCCAGGTGCCTGCTCGGTGGAGCTGGGGGCCGTCACCACCTCCCACTCGTCCGTGCTCCCTTCTCCTAAAACATCTGCTTCTCTTGGCTGAGGGAGGTTGCTGAGCGCCCTCCAGGTCGGGCCCAGAGCCCAGGCTTTGGTTTCTGTTGCCTTCCAAACAATAACCACCAGCGTTGATGTGCAGGCCACTGTTTAGGGAGGACTAGTGACACAGGTACCGACTGAGCCCTCTGTATGAATCACCTCCATCATTGCTGCAAGGTAAGTTATATCTTTAGAGAGGAAACTGAGGCTCAGAGAGGTTTAGCAGCCTGCCTGCGGACACACAGCTAGTAACTGGCAAACCCAGGGCCCAAATCTGGGTCTATCTGGCTTCAAACTGCAGCTCTTTCTGCTGCAGGGTGCCCCAGTTCTAAAGGTGGGGAGATTGAGGCTCACAGGGGGCCAGAGAGGTGTCTGTTCAGAGTCTAAGGCTGCGAATGGAGGATCCAGGATTCAAACTCGAGGCTTACAGAGCCAAAGCTTGTTGGCCCAGCTCAGCCCGGCCGGTCCCCGTCAGCCACAAAGGCAGGGCCCTTAGAGGGACACAGGGGCTCTCTGCAGGCAGCAGGCCTGACTCACCAGCCCCACCCCGGCCCAGGCCTGGCCCACCTCCTCTTCTGCCCCTCAGGTGGGCTTTCTCCAGGGCACATCACCCCACCAGCCCCTCCGAGGTCCCAGGTGAGCACCACAGCCAGATCCCCTGTGCCACCCACCGTGGCCTTAGACCAGCACCCTCTCCTCTGGCCTGCATTCCCCCAGAGCCCTAGGACTTCCCCTCTCCCAGGGCGCCTTGGTGACAGCTCCCCCACCCAGCTCCCAGCCCTGGAGTACAGCTGGGTCCCAAGGAGGCCCTGAGCCTCCTCAGCCCTCGACGGCCTCCTCTCTGCCGGGGACTGAAGCTGCAGGGGGGCGGGTCCCAGGGGGGATCCCCAGCCGGTTGCCTCCAGGCTTTCCTCCTTCACCACTCAGGTCCCTGGGCCCCACTTCCGTCTTCTTTCACTCCCTTCAAAACTAATTCTACTCGTGTCCTTGGACCAGAGTAGTTGCTCATATGCACAGCACCTTCCCTGGTCCTTGCATGAATCCCAGGAGAAACTCTGCCTTCTATGGTGTCTGCCCAGGCGTCACCTTCATGGTGAAAACTGCCTCTGGTGTGGACAGCACTTGACGGTTTATAGAGTGCGTCTGGACCAGTGTCTCTGTTTACAGTGACGGTGCCCAGTGATAGCTCCCCTCTCTCCACCCTCATTCCCAGGCGCTATGCTAAGCTCTCTGCAGGGTTTCTGTCCTTCAGGCCCCTCAGTGACCCCTTGATCCTTGTTTTATTACAAGGAAACTGCCCAGGGTCACCCAGCTATTGGGTGCAGTAAAGAGCGCAGCCCAGGGCCGAGGGAGGCTGTCCCCGGGCAGAGGTCCTTGGGCTGAGAAGGAGCCGGAGCTCTGTGTGCTCACCACTCCGCCACTGGCTACTGCGTGGCGTGAGGCGTCCCCACCTCCCTCCCGGCCTCAGTCTTCCCATCTGTGAATGGGGAGAGTGGAGTCAGGCGGCCTGGAACGCTGAGGTCGCAGGTGTCCCCGGAATCCCCAGAGCCTGCTCTGCGGGCTGCAGGAGCACCCCAGCTGTGTGGGAGGCCTGCAGGACGCTGTCGCCTGGGACCGGGTCCTGTACAGCGCGGCCAGGGTGGGGAGCCAGGAGCAGCCTCAGAGCAAGGGGTATGCGGGGGGCCGGGGCAGCCCCTCTCTGCACCAGGCTGTGCCTGGAATCTGAACCTCATGGGCCTACCCGGGGCCTGGCCTGACCTGCAGCCCACGCTGGCTCCCCACATCCACACTGCCTGCCAGGGCCCTCATCCGCTGTGACGTCAGACACAAAGCTGGCCAAGCCGCACGCTGCTCCTCCTGGACTGCTCCCACCCCTCCCTCCCCACTTATGTGACCTCAGGCCCTCACCCTCCAGGGGCCCCTGAGTGGCCCCTGCTGTAGACCCTGGAGTGATGGCCGCTGCTGTAGACCCCGGGGTGACGGCCTGCTGACGGACCCTGCCCTCCGCCTACACTGCCCAGCCTCACCCCTCGTGCCTGCTCTGCCCAGGGCCCAGGGCAGCGGCCCCCACGGCATCCTGGAGGAGCCTGCTTTCCCCAGGACCCTGCAGAGCGGCAAGCTCAGGGTCACTTGGCCATCAAAGCCCTTTGCAAAGCCAGAGCACGCGGGGAGCAGACGCAGCCTGTGACTTGGGCTCTCAGAGCCCACAGCAGGGTCCTTCCCAGGGACAGAGCCTCAGGTGCCCCGGACCTTGCGGTCCCAAGAGGACCTCGGTGACATCCCCAGTAACTATACAGAGCTGCCTTCAGGGAGAGGAGCTTGGCGGGAGCTGGCCAGTCCAGCTCCGCTACTTGAGGCCAAGTGACGGGTCTTGCTCGGCTTAGTGTCCTCTCTGTAAAGCCAGAGCTAAGGACACGTGCCCCCAGAGGCCTTGGCCAGGAGGAAGTTAGTTACAAACCGTAAAGGATCCAGAATCAAGGCCAGACATGGGAGCACCAGGTGACACTGCTGCCACCCACCCGACAGGGTGCCCTGTGCCCACGCTGAGCAGGCCATGGCCCCAGAGGGCCATCTCAGCATCGTCTCTGGGGACACTGCCCAGCTTACTGCTAACTCGCTCCGCTGCCTGGAGCTGAGGCATGGCTGCACGTGGCCTGCCCACCCCCAGCAGAGCCGTGGTGTGTGGCATGTGGCGTGTGTTGTGACCATGCTGCCTCGGGGTGAGCGAAGCTGAGGAGTGGTCCCCCAGATGGCGCTTCCTCCTTGATAAACACTCATCCAGCCGGGCGCGGTGGCGCACGCCTCCAATCCCAGCTGCTCCGGAGGCTGAGGCAGGAGGATCCCAAGTTCAAAGGCAGCCTCAGCAATAGCAAGGCTCTAAGCAGCTCAGGGAGACCCTGGCTGTAATAAAATTGAAAGCAGGGCTGGGGACGTGGCTCAGGGTCAAGTTCAATCCTGAGTTCAATCCTGTCCCCCACTAAAGACCTCATCTCGTCCCCGTTCTCCAGGGAGTCGGCCTCGGGGCCAAGTCACCGTGTCTGCTACCTTGCCCCTCCTGGGACCCCCCGGTGGCTGTCACAGAGGCCTGGCCTTTCTCTGAGCCACTGCCCTGTCTGGCCCCAGCGCAGGCAAGGACGTGTGGCAGCTGCCCTGAGGGATGCTGCCCGTGCTGGCCAGGCCTGCCAGCCCGACTCAGGCGACTCGGGCCTCCACACGGATCCCCGAGGCTTGGGCTCGGGTGGCCTGTGACTGATGCTCTCTCTCCCCTCCTCATGCCTTCCCGACCCAGGGGGACCGAGGTGACCCAGGGCCTGATGGAGAGCGTGGCGAGAAAGGCCAGGAAGGGCTCAAGGGCGAGGACGGGCCCCCCGGCCCTCCTGGCATCACTGGCGTCCGGGTGAGTGTGCGGGCGGCGGACCAGCGCTGGGCTCCTGGTCACAGGCACAACCTGCCTGCAGTGGCAGGGCCTTCGAGGGCGAGGCTCGGGCGGGGGCCGGGGCTGACGACCGGGACCTTCTTGGTAGTGGGCCCGGGGGTGTCCACAGCTGAGCTGGGGTGCCAGAGGGCCAGAGGGCCAGAGGGCCAGCTTGCCAACTCAGCCCACTTTCATTCAGGCCTATTCTTGACATTCCCTTTCCCTCCCGGAGCGTCGAAGTGACTAACCTGGGACAGATCCAAATTAGCCGGCAACAAACTGGTTGTGGGAAAATGTTTGTTTCCTAAAAATAGAACCAAAGTGCTAATCCTCCTTAACAGCTGCAGCAGAATGAGCTCACCACTGAACTGGAGAGGAACTCGAGCACTTGGTCAGACTCTCCATGCCAGAGGCTTCCCCAGGCTGGGCTCAGCTGTGGGGTAATGGGCCATGGGGACTCGGCAGGAGGGCCGCTGGCCCCATTCTCCCTCAGTAACTTGCTGGGTGACTTTTTCACTCACTCCTTGCCCTCTCTGGTCTCACCTTGTCAGGATGAAAGATTTGGAGGGGAAAACGTGTGCTAAGATCCCTTTGATGTCCCACATTCCAGGCATCCCTTTTACTGAGTTTTGAGCATCACACTGTACAATGACAGGCACTGTGGCAGAAATACTCTGAGAACAGAGTCCAGAGGTTGCACCTGCATCCTGGCTTCCGCAGCCCCCCTCGTTGTGCCTGTAGGAAAATCACTGTGCTCCTCTGAGCCTTGGTTTTCTCATCCAGAAAAAGTTAGTGAGACTCCACAGGCAGCGCCCGGAACCGAAGACTGAGGGTTCTGAGGAGGAGAGGAATAGAAGCTGGTGGTGGAGGTGAAGGATTTGTGGATGGGACTGAGGGTGACAGCAGCAGTGGTAGTCCTGGTCGTGGTGGTAGTGATGGTGGTGGTGGTGATGGTGGTGGTGGTGGTGATGATGGTGATGGTGGTGATGATGATGGTGATGGTGATGGTGGTTATGGTGGTGATGATGGTAGTAGTGGTGGTGGTAGATGGTGATAATGATGATGGTGATGGTTATGCTGGTGATGGTGGTGAAGATTGTAGTGATGATGATGGTAATGGTTGTGATGGTCATGGTGGTGATGGTGGATGGTGATGGGATGATCATGGAGGTGATATTAGTGATGATGGGTGATGAAGGTGGTGATGCTGGTGATGGTGGTGATGCTGGTGATGGTGGTGATGCTGTTGATGGTGTTGATGCTGGTAATGGTGGTAATGATGGTGATGCTGGTGATGGTGGTGATGAAGGTGGTGATGCTGGTGATGATGGTGATGGTGGTGATACTGGTGATGGTGGTGATGCTGGTGATGGTGGTGATGATGGTGATGCTGGTGATGGTGGTGATGAAGGTGGTGATGCTGGTGATGATGGTGATGGTGGTGATGCTGGTGATGCTAGTGATGATGGTAGTATGATGGTGGATGGTGAAGGGATGGTCATGGTGATGATATTAGTGATGGTGGTGATGCTGGTGATGGTGGTGATGATGATGGTGATGGTGATGGTGGTGATGATAGTGATGCTGGTGATGATGGTGATGGTGGTGATGATGGTGGTGGTGATGTGGTGGTGGCAGTGGCTGTGGTAGTGCTGTGGTTGTGACAGTGGTGATAGCAATGCCAGCGTCAGTGTCTGGCTATCACTCCCAGTCCATTCACCAGGGGGCAGGGGGCAGCCTGCGTGTGCAGAGGGCCCTGAGGCCGTGGAGGCCTGAGGCCAAGGAGGCCTGTTTGTTTGTTTGTTTGTTTGTTGTTTTTGAGCTTCTTTGGCCTCAGGGCGCAGGACAGACACCTCCCAGCCTGTGGCCTGCAGAGAGTCAAGTATTTAAAAATAGAATTTCCCGAGCCATCAGGGCCTTCCGGATCGTGCCCCAGTCCTGCTCCATGTTCTCATGTTTGGTGATGAGGATCTGCACACGTGCCCTGGTCCCCGGGGACTCTGTCATCTGGTGACGTCACGGCCAGCTAAGCTGTGTGGGAGCACTGTGTGATGTGCGCACAGTGACAGAATCACCTCACGGCGTATTTCCCTGAACTTGTCCGTTAGTACGTGACGATTTGGGTGGGGCCCAGCCAAAGTCACTATTCCAGTCCCACAGCCTTAGCCCACTGGGTGCTGCAGCCATTCTCGGGGTTCCCCATCTCGGGGGTGCTCTCATTGGAGACGGCTTAGTCTCCCGTCCCCTGACCCTAGACCCAATGCTTTCCCCTGACAAGAAACCAGTCAGCCACTGTGGTCACCTCAGTCCACTGGCAGATTCCCCCAGCCACCGCACCACAATTTCACCAGGGCCCAACAGGGCCAGCCTGGGCCAGGCGTGCCCCAGGAAGGGACAGTGCACATCACTTCTAACCTGTGCAGGCAGCCTGCAGACAGTACCTCTTCTTACCAAGTCTCGGTTTCTTTAGCCTGACCAGTGGCTGAGAGCATGAGGATTGTTAGAATTTTACTACTGGAGAAGCAAGAGACCTGGAGATGGCTCTGTCCAGTGCTGGCCAGTCAAAACAGTACAGAGCTAGGCGTGTTGGCGCATGCCCTTAATCCCAGCTGAGGACTCAGGAGGCTGAGGCAGGAGGATCACAAGTTTGAGGCCAGCCTCAGGACTTAGCAAGTCCCTAAGCAGCTTAATGAGACCCTATCTCTAAAAAATAAAAAATAAAAAGGGCTGGGGATGTGCTCAGTGGTTCAAGTGCTTCTTGGTTGAATCCCCAGGACAAAAAGAAGAAAGAAAGAAAGGAGGGAGGGAGGGAAGGAAGGAGGGAGGGAAGAAGGGAGGGAGGGAAGGAAGGAGGGAGGGCAGGAGGGAGGGAGGGAAAGAACCAGAATATGAGCCACATAACTTAAAATTTTCTAGTCGCCACATTTTAAAAAGAAAAACAAACAGGTGAAATTAATTTTAATATTTGTTCAGGAAAAAATAAATCCAAAATATTATTTCCACAGGGAATCGATAGTTAAAGGGAATCGATAGTTAAAAATCACTAGCAAGCTATTTTGCATTCTTTCTTTCTTTTTGGCGCTAAGTCTTTGAAACCCAGCATGCGGCTTCTGCTCCCAGCCCGCCCCACTTCAGGTGGAAATGCTCTAGAAATACTTGACGGGGATTTTCCGTGCGGCCATTTTCACTGGCGATGCTTGACCTGGCTTTCGAGCTCACTGGAGGCCCTGCTGGGCAGTGTGGGCTTCCTGAGTAGAGGGGGGACCAGGCCCTAGGAAGCAGAGCCGGGGAGCCCTGGGATGCAGGAGTGTGTACCTCAGTCCTTTGGAGCCACGGTGTGGTCTGACCAGTGGTCTTCCTGGGGACAGTCATCCTCTCCCGCACAGTGTTGCCACATTGTGTCTTGTGAGGTGATGGCCCTCCCCCAGGGTGGGCCGGAGCGTGCTGAGAGGCCATGTGGGGGAGGGGACAGGACGGCCGACTTCTCAATATGGTGCCCACCTGAGGAGTCCTCTAAGTATAGCAAGCAAACGGGACCCCATGGTGGGACATGGCCTCAGGGATGGCATGGAAGTGATGCGTGACAGCTCAGAGATGGGAGGCCCTAGTCACCTCTCCTACCCCCTGTGTCCCCAACAGGGACCTGAGGTGGGAGTAGAAACCAGGTGGACGAGGAACCAGGCAGCCCTGCCACTGGTCAGAACCTGGCAGGGGACCTGTGGGCAGCCAGGCTGCCCCCTCTGTGGAAGGGCCTCACTGGGGCCACCGTCGCGTCACTAGAGGGTGGAACGTGCTTGGTGCACGGAGAGCTCAGCACAGGGCTTCTCGGGGCTTACGGGGGACCCGCCATAGATACCCGCGGTGGCAGAAGCCACACCAACCACTCGTGGGAGACCTCACGGCCAGACTCTGTTGTGTCCCTGATCCTTAAGCTCTGTGAGGCACACTGCACACTGTCCCCACTCTGCCAATGGGACACCCAGGAAGTTAGGTGGTGCTTACGGCCACGGGGACAGCCTTGGAGCCCCAGTGGCCCCACACTGGGATCTCATCACCTCTCGCTCCCTCCTCCCCTCTCCTTTCAGGGTCCTGAAGGAAGACCAGGGAAGCACGGTGACAAGGGCCGGCCAGGGGCCAAGGTGGGTCCCCCGACTGCCATGGTGAGCCACGTCCCTCCCCTCCCAACAGGGCCATGACAGCCTGTCTCTCCTCCCACTGCAGGGCGCCAAGGGCTACCAAGGACAGCTGGGTGAGATGGGTGTCCCCGGAGACCCAGGACCCCCTGGCACCCCAGGCCCTAAAGGCTCCCGGGGCAGCCTGGGCCCCACGGTGAGGACTCTGGCTGGGGGAGGGGAGCCAGGCATGGGAGGGAGGGACCGAGGGCAGGAAGGGAGGGACC